CTAATCCGCACAACCAAGAATTTGATTGTGAGAGTCTTAGGACAAGCTGCAATCAATTACGAAGAGTTATCCACCGTTATCTGTGATGTGGAAGCCGTAATAAACTGTCAACCACTTACTTATTTGTCAAATGACTCTGAGGATCTTCTACAATTAACGCCTTCCATGTTCTTACAGGACATTAAGGTTTCAGGTACAGCAGATGTGGATGCTTTAGATCGAAATAAACTCTTGGCTCGTCAGCGTTTCTGCCAGGAACTTCGAGAACAATTTTGTAACCGTTTCCGCAAGGAGTACCTTGGACATTTAGTACAAAAGCATGGACAGAAGGACTGTGAATTAAAAGTTGGAGACATCGTGCTAATAGGTTGTGAGAACCTTAAAAGAGTGAAGTGGCCAATTGCTCGTGTCCAAGAACTTTGTACAAGCAGAGATGGACGTCTAAGAGTTGTAAAAGTGAAAACTAGAAATGGCATACTGATTCGTCCTGTACGTAAATTGTACCCTCTGGAAGTGTGTTCCTGTACTAAGGATACCATTATTTGATTTTTGATTTTGCTTCTGAAAATCAAAAAGGTGGGAGTGTTGTGAAACTGATTAGTTGTATCTAACAAATATTAAAAACAAATCTCTTCATTTTGATGTACGAGACACAGATGGCGTTGGCTGTCATTGAAGTAGGAAGAAAAAAAGGGTTTTTCCCTTTCGACCTCGTGACGTTGAACTGATTAAGATGTGTAATAACTTTCGGGGCCAAAAAAATTTCCCGACAGTTGTTAAAAAATGTATATATTTTGTAGTGTAGAGAGAATATAATTAGATAAATCAACTTAGAGTTTTTATTCAGATTCAACATCACACTACCCAGGTAAGTGAGCAAGTTTTGTCTTTAGTTTTTCTGGATTGTTCGGTATCTGGGATGAGTGAAGGAAGTATTTTTATTTTAATGATATTTAAGGATAAGACTATGTTTTAGTAATAACACATGCCAAAAATCAACGCAGAACATATATCGCCACATTTGGTGATCTTAAGATGAATATAAGAGTAGAGACCTGAAATTGAACATTCCATAAAGGTCACTTTTCATATGTTGGAAGAAATTGCAACCATTGAATAATTTCTGAAGTTTTGACATCCTCTTTCCACAAAACAGAAAATGATTGCATTTTTCATATTTGCAAAAAATGGTGCTAACGCTTGTATCAGTAAAACAGTCTGATTAAACAATATTGTATGGGATAGTTTCATAAACGTATCAAGACTAAATCCTAGGAATTGAGCCCTAGTTCAATTTGTAGAACTTCAGAAACACCTTATGTATTTGTATTTAAAAATGAAATATAAAACTAATTACATTATGTAAATCAGTTTGCTAAAAGGTTCAAATCAGTTTGCTTAAAGGTTCAAATTAGTTTGCTGAAAGCTTTTGCTATTCAAATGCTGCAAAGGGCTTATAAGAGGTGGAATGTTTTTATGGAGGATTTTTAGAGGAAATTGCCCTGTATTCATATTAAACTCTGAAAAAATCACTAACATTTCTATGCAGGAAGTTTTTTCGGAAGGATGTAACTATCGCTGCCATGCAATTTTATCCATTTGGCTATGATGAGAATTTGTAGTACCAGATTAACTAACAGACAAATAACACATGCGCTTAGGGGTTATAATTCTGGTAAGCCATGCTTCAGTAAAGAAAAAGTAAAAGTAAATATGTGACCAGTTTTTTAAAAGTTGTAGGCAACAATTATTATTGGTCATAATAACTACAGCTACTTTTACTAGATAATAATTTACTACTTTCACTTCACCTTTAGTTTCTAAGGTTGTCATGCCTGAAATCAGTAAGGAGTTAGTGAGCGCTACTAAGAATAATAAAGATGTTATATATGAAAAAAATTTGATTCTTGCTTTTGCTTTTTGCCTTTTAAATTATTATAAAAAGAACTTCAAACAAGCAACTGCAAAGTAAACAAATACAGTGAAAATCGCTTAACACGAAACTGAGGGAACTGAAATAATTTTTCGTGTTAAAGGATATTGCAGTATATATATATTCAACAAAATTAAGTTTATCAGAGTACATTTTATTTACAAAGATATGTATATATGCATGTATTTAATAAAAATCAATGAAACAAAAACATCCATAAGAACTTAATTAACGCTGCGGTGCACAATGAATTGGAAGTTGATCTGTCAGCACTATCCTTATCTTCAGGGCAGACACTTTTATTTTATTTGGCTTATAACTCATTACTAAATGTAGTATTTCATCTAGATGTACTCCGTCTTTGATATGATTTAAATCAAATTCCTCGTCATTATAATTCACTTCCGATAGTGAAGTGACACAGAGGTTATTGAAAACGAAAAAATTTTGATTGACAAATTAGTTGGTATTCTCGACACAGCAATTATATTACTTGAACAGCGGAACTTTGTAAGTAAACAAGAAATTATGTCTGTTTAATAGAATTAAAGAGAAAGTATTATCACATGAAACGAAGCAACTTACATTGAAGGAAATGTTTAATAAAGTAAACAAATAAATATTAAGCTTTTTCTTTTTGTAAATTTTGATACCCTTTAGATCATATTGTTCTTTATTTCATAAATTACAGTTTTATTTCATATTTTTAATTTATGCTTTCTGCATCGCCATCTTTACAAGATTATAAACTGGAAAATGAACATTTATATTATAAAAAGAATGTGTTGAAACGTTTTCGTTTTTTTGTTTTGTTGTCTGTATTGTCTTATCTTTATCTATTTTCAGATACAATGTGTAAAAATATTTGGTAATTATAAAATTATCATAATAAGTTAAATATCAAAACTGCTAAAATTGCAGCATGGAGACCCACAGTTTAAGAAATGCTGGTTTAGAGCATATTAATAAATGGTAGCACACAATTTTAGCGTTGATGCCCTAACTATGGAAAAAATTAATTTTCATTCTAGATTCAAATACTTTGCAGAAAGAATTACAAAAATAACATAATTTAAATATTTTGTAGATAATGTTAAATTTTTTCATACTTGTATTATGATAGAAATAAAATTTGTAAATTTGGAGATAAATAATTTTAATACAAAAATAACTGATGCGTATAATTTTAAATGTTTTAGGTTATTAGAGCGTAGTTTAAGAAACAGTGAATTTTATAATATTTTACTGATATTTTAGTTTTTTCCTTTATGGAAACCCCAATTTTCACCACCAGCACAGTAAACTTGTTTCTTGAGAATTCAACAGTCTTTTTTTTTTTTTTTTTTTTCCTGCCAGATTTCTTGCCTTTAATTTTTCAACAAGCCTTGGCATAATTTAAATTGTTGGAAATACAAGCCAAGTATGCTCTTTTCTACTTTTGGTAGAGCCAACTTTTATTATTATTATTATTATGTATTTTTCATAATAGGCTGTCTAAATTTTTTGCTAAGGTTCTAATAAGTTAAAATACTATAATTACAACATATATTCTAACTGAGATCTACAATGTAATGTGTGGGCTTAGAGTGGGAAACTAACTTTCTTTTACTGAGCTCAGTCAAGCTTCCTGAAAATTCAAACTCCTGATGTTTACAATTAAGGTTATATACTACTTTTAAACTGTGTTAGCCATTAACTTAAAACTTAAATCTAATTGTCTTACAGATGAAAACTGTAAATTGATTTAAGTATGTAAGTTTTTTTCTTACAGTGAGTATCTTTTACTGAAGGCTGAGGAGATTGGAAAAATTTTAGAGCAATATGAATGTTCAGTGCAACAGTAAAACTTCATAAAATCATTACAGGAAGCTCTATATGTGTTCATATTGATACTGCAAATATTGAAGCATATTTTTTGGAAGAAAAAGCAATAAGATGTTTAAAAAAGAAACTGTAACTGTAAAATTTTTAGTAAGCAATCATTTGTGTTTCATGCCAATAATAATAAATATTTTGGATTATAAACTGGATCTAGTAAAAACTACTTTGGAGAATTTGAGTTTCTAACTGGATATGATGAAGTTTTAATTTTTCATATACAAAAATATGTCTTAACAATGATTACATGCAGTTTCTCAGATCTGGAAGTTCCAAATTTGAGAAATTGCATGTGCTTGTAATCATTGGTTTACACCTCATTAAATTGTGTGTTCTGTTGAGGGGAAAAACTTTGCAGAAACTAAGTGGTATGTGTAAAGTGTTAAAAAATAACTTCATTGCATCTTCTTTTCCTAATGCTACAGTGTTGTTAAGAATTTACTTCAGTATATTTGTAAGTAATACAAAACCTTTCTTTCTTTGTTTTAAAATTAAGTAGATAATCAATAAATTATTAAGATATTGGGACAGGTGGTACTGTTCTGTTATCAGGGGGGGGGACCAGATCCAGAAATGTATGGATGTATGTATTCATTGTATGTATACTATATGTACACAGGAATATATGTGTGTGTATTCATATACACATATATGCACATACATACATACATACACACATGCATACATTCATACATTTCTGAATCTGGTCCCGATAACAGAACAACAGTACAGCAAATATTAACCGCTTTAGCATTGCATGTTGTAGAAAAATATTCTCTTGAGTGGCTAGATGGTAAAGATTTTATTTATAATCTTTAAAATGAAAATCTTAAAAAAAAAAGAATTTTATTTCTTAAAAGTGAAATAATGAGCTAAATAATTTTATTTGTATATTATTTATTTTTGCCAAAACTTTTTTAATTATGTAGTTATTATTGTGTTTTGTATTATTAACAAAAAGTTTTAAACAGCATTATCTAAGATTCCATTAGAAGCAACTCATGTAAGTGTGGCTGCAATTTAAATTTTCTCTAGGGACCTCTAAAAGCTTAATATGGCACTGGGCCTTTATTTAAAATATGCTTAGAATTAGTTAATTTTAAAGTAATTATAAAGCAGCTTTAATTTAAAATTTCTTCCATTTTTAGTTTGTTCTTATGTTAAAATAAATTATGTTTGAAACTTATAGTTAAAACCATGGCCATCATATATCCAAGAGCGTCTTGAGATGTGGAAAAAGCTGTATGCTGACTATAACGCTAAGCTAGCTGCAAAAACACCTGATCCTATCAAGATAACCTTGCCAGATGGAAAAGTAGTTGAAGGTGAATCATGGAGAACAACTCCATATCAAATAGCTCAAGGCATAAGGTAACTAATGCATTCATATTTTAGTTTTTATTTGAAATTAGTTATTTTCTTCAGCTCTCAGGTTTATATGAGCTTATATCTGAAACAAAAAATAAGCCAAGTTTTTTTTTTTTTTTTTTAATTTCAAAACATTTTTTTTATTAAAAAAATTCGTCATAATCTTCCTTTCAAAATCCACTCATAAAAATGTATTTATTCAGGCAGTTTGTTTTCACAGAGAAGCTATTGGTGAATCTAAGGGAGCTAGCTGACAGTGGTATTTTAGTTTTTGCTTGCCAAAGGCTCATTCGGTAATACTAGCTGGGAATATTGCAATTCCAAAGTTAATTTTGAAGTTTTAAAAGACCTTAAGAAATTTGGTTAAAGAAAGGATGTTTTCAATGTTAAGAAATAATAAATAAATTTAAAAAAAAAAGATTTTAGCTGTTACATTCTAAAAAAAAGTTATTCGTTTATTTTTTTGATGTAAAATTTCACTGAGATTTGTTTGGAATGTGTTCTTGGTATTAAACAAATGATGAAAAAATAAGATGATTTGAAACGTGCTTTATCACCCAAATATTAGTTGCTTTTTTTATTTGTTTGTTTATAATGTTTTGGCATATGTATTTAAAACATATGTGCAAAGGTCAGTCAAAAAGTTAGTTGCACTGCTTAACAAAACAGGATAGAAATTTTACAGTAACTTTATATGTATTTTAAAGTTCCATTCAAAATCTACTTTTTAACATAATTACCTCGATTATTTAAGCATTTGTCGAGGTGTGGTACAAGTTTTTCGATGTCTTCTGCAAAGAAATCCTGTCTAATGTTCGATAACCATTTTTGAGTTACAGCTTTCACCTTGTCATCGAAGTGGTATTGTCGCTTTAAAAGTTCTGCTTTCGTGGGACCAAAAACATGGAAATCACATGGTGCAAGGTCTGGGCTGTATAAAGAGGGTGATCCCAGACTTCCTACCTAAAAAATTTTTTAGAAAGTTGCACGTTTATTTTGCTGCATGTAGTCTTTCATTATCATGCAGGAGCACAATGCCTTTTAACAGTTTACCTGACCGTAGATTTTTAAGTGATTGTCGATATCGTTTTAGTGTTTCAGTGTAAGAAGATGCATTAATTGTATGTGGCACCCTTCGCCATGAACTCTGTATGTACCAAACCTTCTGTATTGAAAAACAGCGTCAGCATCACTGTTTCTGCAGATGGAACAGTTCAACACTTTTTTCGAGTTGGAGAAGTGGCATGTTTCCGTTCAAGAGAGCTGATTTTCATTTCAGGTGAGAAATGGTGAATCCAAGACTCATCTCTGGTCAAAATTTTGTCCCAAAACTCATTTCCTTCCTTTTGGTAATGCTGCAGAAATTTTAACACACTTTCAAAACACTTCTCTTTATGTTCCTGCATCAGTAGGACAAGGCACCCATCAAGCACAAACTTTATGAAATTGAAGCTAATCGCCAATAACTTTATGTACTTTTCCATGAGAAATATCCAGTTCATTAGAGATTTCATCTATTGTTATGTGCATGTTTGCAAGAATGCATTACACGAGTAGCAATTTCAGAATTTGTGGCAGTTGATGGTCTTCCCTTGCCCTCAGTGTCATCAATATCTGTATATCTGTTCTCCAACATATCGCACCACTTTCCGATAGCTTGACGTGACATTGTATTTCCACCATAAATTTCATCTGCCGATAAATTTCACAGCAGTTACATCTTTTTGCCTATAAAAAATGAATCACTAGATGCATTTCCAATTTGGACGGCACTTGTAACTGTCAAGATAAGTTTATGACTGATTATCAAACAAACTAAAATTGCCTTGTGAAAGCTGCTATGTCACATGATACAGCTAAATGTTTGAAATGTTGCCAGACAGTTTCATCAAGTATCCTTTAAAAGAAAATTTTTCTGAAGGGGTGCAACTAACTTTCAGACTGACCTACGTATTTTTACCAGGAAACGGTCTTGCAAAATTATATAAGTAAAACATTATTTTCACTTCATTGAGATTTTAACTGTATAGATAGCTATAATGTTTTGTTTACTGTCTAATTAAAATTTCAAGTGAAGCTGTAGCTAAAACTTTTTCCTTATCTTTCGAGAAGTTTAGCATTTAGAAGCTGCCAGTTCAATTTGAGGAAATCCTTAAATGTGTTAATTGTGTTTTTTTATGGTTTGATCCATGTAGCTATGCTTGATGTATGCACTGGATGAATATATTTTTGAATTACAAGGTAGCATGCTTAGCTGCTGTAAACATTTATGCTTTAGACAACTTTTCTAAACAAACTAATTCCACCTATTGACCCCTGAAAATTAAAATAAAGACTTAAATTGTAGTGGATAATCCTCATAATGGAAACGTTAATGTCAAAAATATAATAAAGTTTATCACAAAATTCTAAAGATTAACAAATAAAGAATAGGGACATTAGAAGAAATGGTTGTTGCACGTGAAAAACCTGTTCATGAACTTTCGGACTTAGCACTATTATACTATTTGGGCAGAATTAATATTTACTGTGTTCTCTGCAGAAGCACTTACCATTGAAGTTTCTTGAACTAATTAATGAGAGTAGATGGACATGACATATAAAATACCGAAATGTATGAGTAATAAAAGTATTGATATGTCCGTGCTACTGTTATATAGTGTGTGTGCTCTATAAAAATAAAGCTGAGATCCAAGAATGATCTAAACCTAAGTTGATATAATGAATTGTATTCAATTTTATCACTTATAAAAAAGTTTAAATTTCATATTTGTACCAAATTATTTTTCAATTAAGTATTAGTCAATAAGTAATAAGACCGAGGATATTAAACCAGAAATATAGTATTTAGAAAAATGTAGACAGGCCTGAAATGTAGTTGCTGATGTGATGAAAAGGATTTGTACCCTTTTTACTCATTAGGTGACAAAAGTGTGATGCAAGCAATGATAAAAAGATAACTGAGCTGCTAACAAGTCAATTTGTTGCATTTCTGAAAGCAATGCATAATGAAGGCATCCAAAGAGCAGCAGTAGAGTGTTGCTTTTTGACAGCAGAGGCCTGGTGCTGAAGAATATGACAGGCCCCCCCCCCCCAAAAAAAAGGTGGGGGAATTCTGAAAGCTTTCAAATTTTACATTATGCTGAAAAGGGCATTTTTTTAATGTTTTGTGGGTTACCTTTATTTATTAAATATCATGTTCTTCGCACTTAAACCATAAAATTCCGTTCAATAGCAATATCGCAAAATAATTTTAAAATGAGGATATCTTTATAATTTCCGATACAGAGTCTCGTGCACAGTCTTGCATGCTGGAGATAAAAAATCCCCCCCATACAGTGTTGCCATTGCTCGCTTTGAAATCATTGAGTTTGTTAATCAAAAATTCGTTAAAGTTTTACAAAATATGAAATAGAAAATAAAACAAATTCCAAATTTGGATTTCAGATGCTCATATTTGGGTGGAAACGTACGTTCTTCAAAATCTGATGGCTCTAGGTGCTGTCATTTTATCCTAATGTGAGAAATATACACAATGAAGATTCTTCATTATTTAATTTCTTTATATATTATATAGGGCTGTAATATTTGGTGGCAACAGTTTGTAAAGAGAACCGACATTTAAAATTTTCAATGCAAAATGCCAAAATGAAATTATCAGCCCTTCTGGCTAAAAAAAAAAATTCTCTCCTTGGATTTGACCAAAAAGAACTGCAAAATTCTTTGATTAATGGTATGTGTAAAGAAATGCTAAATGAAGATGCTAGAGCTGAAATTTTCTTTACGATGACAATACATTAATCATCAATCAATTAATGGATGGTGAAACCTATATTATGTTTTTAAATCTGTAAATTCTCAACAGGGCAGTTATAGGACTTGAACAATGGAATTTTGTAATTGAATAAGAAATTATGTCATTTTATAAATTTAAAGAAAAAGTATTAACATATGAAAGTGACAACAACTTAAGTTGGGGGGGGGGAAATGTTATGTTTTTCTTTTCCTTTACGTTTGTACAGAGTTTGTGTGGATTTGGAGCGAGTAATGATGATACTACTTGATGAAGTATCAAAACACACTTTATTGGTTAGTATTGTCAAGACAGCTCTGAAACACAATTTTACAGTCGTCGATGAACTACTGTAAACACGCTGGCACGTTCAGTGGCACAGCCTTCACACTGTTGGGCAATAACGGTGGAGACAGCTTCACTGCAAAGCACCCGAGTACAGCTCCCAACTCTGCTTGGTCATTCTTGGAACTCCACGTACTTTCGAGACTCTCCACGTGATGCAGTCGACGATACACAAGAGTATAGCTCTCGACTCAGCACAGTCTAAGACAAAACTCGATGATGCACTAAAAGACTCTCTCGACGACCAACTCGGCACTAGACTTCGAGACACTCGCTCAATGACTGACTATTAGCTCGCTAGACGAGGGACACACACTAAGTGACTGCGGACCAGCAGTGTTTATATAGCTTTCGGCTTGTGTTCGAGAACGTTCTGGGCTAAACCGGTAAGAATTTGTTCCAGAAGGTTCTCCATCCGTCCGTGGTATATTGGCAATTTTGTCGCCAAATGGGCGATTTCTTGCCAAATGTTGCAACTCTGCCTTCCCTTGTCATTTTATGGCAACCCTAAAACTGCTTTGTGGGGAAGCTAACTTACTGCACCTGTACATTTCATAACAATATTAATGAAGTGAAACATATTTTAACATTCAGTTTTTGTTTTTCCTTGTAAATTTTGGTTTTCTTTAGATCAAAGATACTTCGTGCTTTCATAGACAACCTTACATATTTTTAATTTCATAATTTCTACCTGCAATCTTACTGGATTGAAACTGTTGATCTAAAATCCAGAATTGGTGAAGTTGGTTGATTCTGAGCTTTGTACTGTGTATGTTTTTTTTTTTTTTTTTAATTGAGTAAAATGCTCATAACAGATTTTTGTCTTAGTCGCAGCCAGACATTCACACACACAGACACCCAAAAAAGAGCATTTGACTGAACCCATTTGAAATATATAAAGCCTGCGTGATGACTGCTTCACAGTTAGACATAATGGTGAGAGTTTTTTTTTTTTTTTTTTTTTTTTTTAGTAGGCTGACAGTAATTATGTAAAGTTTAGCTTTTTTGATAGCCTTAAAATATCCTGTCATCATTGCCATTCACTTTCAAGTTTTATCTGTTTTTCTTGCAAAGATGTGTTTTAAGGAATCTGTGCTCATTATTTTGTATTTTTTACGCCTGCTTTGAATATAGACTATGAATTTTAATGGGTTTTTATGCCTGGATACTGAGCAAGGGTCTATAAAAATTGTTTTAAATGGGGTAAGTACCAAGTGATATTACTCAAAAATTGGGTGCTTATCTGAAATCACACAGACAAATCTAAAAAAATATTCACGGAAATAATATATGTAGATGTGTGTTTCTTCAAGTATATAATTATTATTTGTTGTAAAATTTCAATGAAGTGTTGATTTAACTTAATTCATATTTTTAGTCAAGGACTTGCTGATAGTGTTGTTATTGCAAAAGTTAATGGAGAGTTATGGGACTTAGATCGACCCCTTGAATCAGATTGCAAGTTAGAACTGAAAAAATTTGATAGTGAAGAAGGTGAGTAATTAAATATTATCTATTGTGTTGCTTAATTTGTTTATTTATTATGACGTTTGTTTAAAATTCTCATGAGTCCTGTGGTGCTTTTTTGGTGAAGCCATACTATACATTTTTGTTGCCATATTTGTGCACTTCAGCTTATTTTTTACTCCATGCCTTTGACTGGATACAAGACAATGGTTAGGATGCTAATTCCGAAGTCAAACAACAAAAATCAGCGTTATATTTTTCAAAATTTTCACAGGACTAGTTTCAATGGTTTCACCGAACCACCATTCTCAGCTGCAAAACTGCAAATGAACAAGATGGGAAATAATGATTAGATAAGATAAGAAAGCATGGACAAGAATAAGCAAGTGGTGCCATCTGTTGGTGAAACCAGAACTAAAACATAATTTCTTTAAAGGCCGAAGGCAAAGATGGATTGGAATTAGGATCGTTAACTAGAACAGAAAGATTTTTTTGAATGTGAAATGCCTCTAGAAAATCCAGTCCTCCAATGGAAGATGTTTTTTGAATAATTTTGGCAGCAGAATGGAAAGTGTGATTTTCAGACCAACAATGTTGAGCAACAGAAGACTTCTGTGTTTCCTTTTTTCTAACATATGCCTCATGTTCCTTGACGTGAAATTTTAAGGCTCTCCTAGTTTGGCCAATGTAAATCAAACCACACTGGCAAGGAATCCTATAAATATATATACAATCCTATGAAATATATGCTCTTCCCAAAATTCATAAAATGATATTCCTTTCCGCCCTATTGTATCAAATTTAGGTACTGCATCGTATCCCTTAGCTAAATATTTAGTTTCTAGATTTTCAACTCTATTAGACAATAACATTTACACCATAAAAAATTCAATAGAGTATGTAAAAAAGGTTAAAAGCATTTCTCCTAAAAATTTACTCATGGTTTCTTTTGATGTAAAATCATTATTCACCAATGTTCCAGTGGAGGGTGCATTAAGATGTCTAGAAACCAGACTTCACGAATTTCAATTCTCTTGCATCGAAATTCATGAGCTAATTTCTCTCACTCTGTTTGAAACAAACGCATTTTGTTTTCCAAAATAAATATTACATGCAAACTGAGGGATTAGCCATGGGAAGCCCCCTCAGTCCCATCCTGGCTGATATCTACATGCATTATTATGAATCAAAATTGTTTGAAACTTTAAACTTCCCGGCATGGTTCCGCTACGTAGACGATACTTTTACCCTGTTTGAAGGTAATAAAGATGATTTAAATAAAGTTCTTTCAACAATGAATTCTATTGATCCTGCTATTCAGTTCACTTTTGAACTTGAGACTTGCAATTCTCTTCCGTTTCTCGACATTCTGGTCACACGTAACACATCCAACTTCAGTACTACAGTTTACCGTAAACCTTCATCGGTTTGTCTTCCACCACACTTTAAATCATGTCATCCGACTAAACAAAAGTTAGCTTCATTTTATTCCTATATTTTCCGTGCTCTTCAAGTTTGCTCCTCCAAACTAGCCCTTGATGAAGAACTAAATTATTTAAAAGCAATAGCTATTGACAGGGGCTTTTCACCCAACATTATTTATTAATCAAGCAGTTAAAAAATTCTCATTTCAACACATTAAAAGGCACACTCTTGTTTTAGGAGATTATAAAAATTCTGTTGTCATTCCCTTCTTTTCATCAATTAGCTATAAAGTTGCACATATTTTGCAAAAATTTAACTTTCGGTTTGTTTATTCTCCCATCAATAAAATTCCGAGTTCCATACTCAAGGACCCCATTCCGGATATGAATTCTTGGGGTATTTATAGGATTCCTTGCCAGTGTGGTTTGATTTACATTGGCCAAACTAGGTGAGCCTTAAAATTTCACGTCAAGGAACGTGAGGCACATGTTAGAAAAAAGGAAACACAGAAGTCTTCTGTTGCTCAACATTGTTGGTCCGAAAATCACACTTTCAATTTTTCTGCTGCCAAAATTATTCAAAAAACATCTTCCATTGGAGAACTGGATTTTCTAGAGGCATTTCACATTCAAAAAAAATCTTTCTGTTCTAGTTAACGATCCTAATTCCAATCCATCTTTGCCTTCGGCTTTTAAAGAAATTATGCTTTAGTTTCTGGTTTCACCAACAGATGGCACCACTTGCTTATTATTGTCCAGGCTTTCTTATCTTATCTAATCATTATTTCCTATCTTGTTCATTTGCAGTTTTGCAGCTGAGGATGGTGGTTCGGTAAAACCATCGAAACTAGTCCTGTGAAAATTTTGAAAATATAACACTGATTTTTGTTGTTTGACTTCGGAATTAGTATTTATTTGGCGTGTTATTGGTCGTAATGGTTAGGATGGTTAAGAACAGCAATAATAATACTACAGTCAAAAGTCGTTAATCCGGACACCCATAATCCGGAAACTCAAAGCTACAAACTTTCTGCGCATGCGCGTAATTCCTTTATGCATGCGCTTTTAATGTATAACGGACGGTAGCTAAAATTATCTAATTATCTATTTCAATTAATGTTGCAGATTGCGTTGTTACTTAATCTTCGAATTGGATCCGGCGTATTATTTTTTGCAGACTGTTAGAGCAATTTTATAAAAGTAAGCTTGAATTTTTGATAATGTCAAATAGAATTTCCAATGCTGGAGCTGCCAAAGTATCTACAAAGCGAAAGTATGTTTCGATGTCCATCAAACAAAAAGTGGAATTGCTGAAAAAAAAAAAAAAAAAATGGATAAAGTCATATCTTTTGTTTCTCTAACCATTCCGAAATCTGTTTATCAATTTCACGCTGCTCTGCGAGGGGGGGGGGTAACGTCGCGGCGCGCAATGAACTGGAAGTTGAGCTGTCAGCACTATCCTTTTCTTCAGGGCAGATGTTTGTATTTTATTTGGCTTATAATTCCTTACTAAATGTAGTATTTCATCTCGATGTACTCCGTCTTTGATATATCAGATTCCAATCAAACCAAATCGTCTTTGATAAATCAAATTCCTCGTCATTATAATTCGCTTCCGATAGTGAAGAAAGTGACACAGAGGTTATTGAAAACGAAAAAAATTCGATTGACAAATTAGTCGGTATTCTCGACACAGCAATTATAGGACTTAAACAGCGGAACTTTGTAACTTACATTAAAAGAAATGTTTAATAAAGTAAACAAATAAATATTAAGATTTTTTTTTTGTAAATTTTGATACTCTTTAGATCATAATTGTTCTTTATTTCATAAATTAACGGTTTCATATTTTTAATTTTAATAATTTCTGCTTCTCTGCGTGCCATCTTACCAGATTTAAACTGATGATCTATAATTCGGAAAAATCGATAATCCGGAATCGCCGAAGTCCCGACAAGTCCGTATTAAAGACTTTTGACTGTAATAATAAAGTGTTATTTCATGGCAAAATCCTCCAAAACCCCATTGTGGGGTTAGAAAACACAGGCTGTATTATTTATTAATTTTTTTTTTTTTCTTTTGTGAATAAGCTTTCAAATTTTTTCACAATTTCATAGCTGTCAAATTTAGGTGATGACAAGGTAACAGGAAATTGACACATGCCTCTATCATGTAATTATTCCAGTCAACCATTGTGTTGCAGTTCATTTGAAGCAAACTTTAATTTGTAACTCTTGATAAATAAATCGGTAAAAAATTAAATACATGATTCAACAAAACATGTTTATATTTGGTTCAGAGGTGATAGTGTTCTGGATGTAGCAATAGTTCTGGATTTATTATTTTCTAAAATCCGGAATTTGTGAAATGTAGAGTCATTATCTTAGTCTTTTTTTTTTTTTTTTTTCAACAAATATATCATTCAGAGATTACATAAATTTAAGATATTTAGATTATATAAATTTTAAGAAAAGATTCAAACTTCCTATGTGAGCAGATTCGTTGAAGTCCAGTCTTTTTATGCTGTGTCGTGGAAAACTGTATCCAATGGGAAAATGCCTTAGCACATTTTGAAGAGTAATATTTATGATTACTAGAATCACCTTTTTATTATTGCAGAAACTGTGAAAATTGTTAGGAATTCTTGAAAGTTTAATCCAGTAGGAAAGGAGTTGTATGTATTCTGAAAGACACACAGTAAAATTATTTGAAAATATATATTTGAAATATATATTTGTGATAATATATTTGAAAGTGCATTTAGGGTGGTATTATGACAAAATATAAACCAACCTTTAACACTCATAGCGTAGCTGCTATAAAGATTGTGAAAGTATGCTACGGGTGAAGATTTTAATCTCTAAGACCCATATGACACAGCATTTGTTTCACATGAACAACTGTTTTGGACAGTTTTTCTGCCTGGTTTACTATTTAAGACGTGCGATTTTTTTCCTTCCTTTCAGAAAAAAATTGCAAGTTGTTCGTTTTCAACCAATCAGCTATCAGCTTCGAAATATATCATCTTGTTTGTAATGTAGAACCAGTTTCCCCTGTGTTAACCACAATACGATCTGTGGTGATTGACTGTTGTGACAAAGCAGAAAAGTTGTTCCAAACAGTTGTTCTTCCAAAACAAATGGACATGTGATAGCAGCCTAAAAGGATGGATGAAGTTGTTGAATAGCTAGACAGCTTACTAAAATTCTGTGTTGTGCATGAATATTCCTTCTTGTTAGTAGTTCCTAATTGCTGGCACCTGTTAATATGTGTATTCCAGTTTTAATCTTTATACCTGAAGGATTAAGAAAGAAGCTTCCTTATTATTTTGGCCTTCATTTCATAAATGGTGACAAAATTATTGATATGCCAACACAAACCATCTACAGGTAGCTGGGACTGCTGACAACAATCATTTGTAATTTGCTGATGATGAGAAGTGGTCCAAGTAAACCATAGGTTATCATATTTCTATTTTTTATATAAATGTTAGCAATTCATGATCATTCATAATTTTCTCATTGAAAGAAGAGTCCAAGTATTCCACATGTTAACATTTTTGTTTGATTTACTGAGAAGTAAGGAAGATCCTACATCTTTTTTTTTTTTTTTTTTTTTTTTTTTTTTTAAGAAAGTTATACTTTGCCTTGCATTTGAATATGCAAAAATGGCCATTAAGTAACATTAAATATCAAGAAGGCATTTGGTGATGCAATATGAAAATTGCAAGTGAAGGAAAGCATATACTTTTGTACCTTATTTTTTATAATTTTTCACGCATATACTCCATACAAGGAAAGCATATACTGGTTTAGTGGTTTTGAATTATTGTCTGTAAGCTTTTTATTTTAACTGTTGGAGTAACGGACTTAAGATTGATTAAATGGTGGAAGAAGCAACTCAGCCTTTATGAAAATACAACTATTAACTCAACAGTTTTATGAGAGAGGTGCATTCTGTATGTCTAATTCAAGAACCAGCTAAGTGGAATAGGTGGCCCTAAAAAAAATTGTGGAGCATAAAAAAAAAAAAAAAAAAAGAAAAAAAAAAAAAAAAAAAAGAAATCTGCTCATGCTGGGTGAAAACAAAATGAGAAGATTCTCACACACTACAGGATATTTGGCAGGTTATGCTGAGAAACTGATGAATTCTTTCTCACTGAGTTTTCAAATAGAGATGCAGTCACACTCATGGCAAAAATCATTGACCATATGTGTGAGAGGGATTGATGATTTGCTCAGATGGTTGTAATGATTCTATCAAATAGTTTTGAGAAACAAATCTTTGAAAGTTAGATTTGCTTGCATATGCCTTACAAAGGAATGGATGGATTTTTGCGGATGCTTTACAGCAGGGGTAGCCCACTTTATAGGGAGTAAAATTTTTTAACCACTCACTGGTTCCTCAGTTACTTAATATAGGGTAACTGCAAATTAATTTTTCAAGTGGAGGTTTAGCAAAATATATATAGTTCTCAGAAAAATTTCTGTTAGCCTCACTTGTTGTTAGATGTAATAACCTTATTATGTGCACTGTAGTCACAAAATAACACTTAAGAAAAGTGACGAAGGCATATAAATATATGGAAACAGTAGGGTGCTGCATATTTGGGAAAGGTCAAGTAGAGAGCTGTTGTTTGCACATACAGAGTCAATTATTTGGGTGTGGTTTATCTGGTTTACAGATTATCTATGTGTTGCAGTGGAATTTTGAGTTAGCAGAAAAGTTATGTGACTCTCTGTGGTGCAGATGTAAGAAGAATCTGGAATTTCATGAGTATTAAAAAGCTGTGACAGGTCAGCTTTTATAAAAAGGTATTGCAGAAGAATTGTGATATTTAAAAACTGAAAGAGTACTTTTTACTGTATTGGGTTGTACTTAGAGAAAATAAAGACACAACAAAATGCTACTTATGTTGTACAGACACATACCTATGTATGTACATGCATACATTCAAACATATGTACATACATACATATACACATACATGCACTTCTGAATCCGGTCCTGGTAACAGAAAAGTGCCCACAAAACTTTGCATTGTCTTCCACACATCATCACATGCTGAAGGCAAACTGTCATTGAATGATTGTTTAGAATCAGATGTTTCTTTTGTTTTAATCTGCTTCACTGCTTTTAAAATGATGCAGATATGGATGTGTGGCTTTGGGAAAATCAGTTGCAGCTCTTGAACTTCCCTGAATGCCACTTTTACTAACATGAAGTTTGGCCACCTCTGTTATATGAATCTAACTGTGAACCATAAATTTCATTTGTTGATCCAATAATAGCTGTTTATAGATAAAATGTTGAAAGACTGTGGTGCTGTGCTAAATGACAGAATAAAAACCAGTGAGCAGATTGCTGTTATCATGAGTCATGTCTCTGAATTCACAGAGCAAAAGTCCTGGCCACCAGATAATGCATCTGATGCCATATTAAAAGCAACTGCAGGTAAATGGTGATTGTCAAGTGTATGTGAGAAGGAAACATGAATGTGGCAATCCTGGCACCAACTTGCCATTTAAAAATTGGGGACTGTAATGAAGAGGAAGTATCTCAAAAAAGCCATTATTTTCATCAAAAGCTGTTATTTACATCAAAATGATTTACTGATCATACTGAACTTTCAGTTTTTTGTAAAGAAAAATGTAAATGCAGTTATTCCCATAATTTAATCTGCCATTTGCCCCCAAAAAGCAAGCTAAACTTTGTTTTTCTATTTAAGAAGAAATAAAAAAGATAATGATATTGTAAAATGCAAACTGATTTGTAATAAACAAAAAATGTACTCTTTTTGCTTGCTAGTGAAATTGTTTGAAAATATTTATGGTTGCATATCATATTACTATTCTGAATTATTTGAAATTATATATTATGTAGTTTTCAGGATTTTAAAAATGAGGCTGCAAAAATGAAGGCTGCACACTTACTTCAGGTCTTATTTTAACTTTAAAGTGTTTATTTGAACACTCATTCTTTGTGAAGAATATATCTTTATTGAAGAACCATGATGCCATTTGTTCGTATCTTGGCAAACTCTAAGTCGCAAAGTCTATTGCAGCTAGAAAAGGGGAAAAAAAGTGTAGATGAGAAATTTGGTTGTGTGAGTGATGGTTACGAAGATGATTCATGAGGAACTAAACTGGGGAATGTACTGGTGATGAGAAAATTTAGCAAAACCATCCCTAAAAGTGTCAAGTAGTATGGCATTAATGGGTGAAGAAACATAAAACCAATTTTTACACATTAACCCAAGCTGTCTTTAAGTGCATGAATGTTATATACTTGTTTAGAATATGCTGACTGTATTTTATTTTATGACTGTATTTTTAAGTGCTCCTTACTTTTGAAAACATCTTCTAATTCTTACTGATACCTCAAAATTATATTTTTCATTAAAAGTTTTAGTTTTTGATTTAAAAATAAACATGCAAGCTTTATTTCTTTAAATATTGACCCTAGACTTGTGTTTCCTGTAGTAAGTTCACTTCATAATGGGTTACATTCACAGACTATGGAATTTGTATGTGGGGGGGGGAAGGTAGGAAGATCTCAGTGGAGAACATCCAAGAAAATATAAGTCAGGAGCATAAAGATCCCATGACAGCTTGAACCACTATTTAGGTACATGTTGCTGCTTCTCTGTGTGCATAAATCATTCTCATATGGCTCACTCTGTTATTCCAGCACCTTTTATATTTCTGCATTTAATACCAAAACATTAGTGGCTCCATTTTCAGTTATGTTTAGAGCAATTTAGAATGCTACAAACTGGCAATGTGTAATATTTTAAGTTACAAGTGTGGCATCCTTTTGAAGACAGATGGTCATTATGTTCAGTTGTGGAACTCTTTATCAAGAGGACAGCCCCATTCTCACTTTTAGAGGTACATCATTTCCATTGCAGGTCCTACCAGTGGCCAACTACATTAGACCACTGAAGCCTTTTCAACTTTGGTTCTAATCCTGGCAAAACGGCAGGCCATGTGAGTGTTTTTGTGGTTTTTCTTATGTGTAATGTGAATATGAACCTGTTTTCTCTAAAAAGTGCCTTCACTAAGGCATGGTGTTCCTTAGCTAGATCTAGTATGCTGTGTCATAATCAAATAATTTAGTTCTCCATCGCAGGTATTATTACAATCCAAGGGGCAATAGTCTACATTTGATCTGTTTTAGTTGTAGTGTGTGAAAGATTCATTGATGACCCAGTGTTATGTGAATGAGATTCTACTACCTCATGTATTCTCATTCCTGGCTGAAATCCCAGAATGATAGTCTCCAGCAGGAAATGTTTTTGATGGCTAGGCACTATCCATGTCATGTCCAGACATTTCTGTAGTTTGTCCTCATATTGAACATGTGTGGCAGTGCTTGCAATGTCCAAGGTTTGGAATCCACTGTTCAACAAATCTAGGCCCATCATCAGATATCTTGACTTACGCCAGACTGAATTGCAACATGAGATGATGCATTATGTATTTGGAGGTGATTGAACTGCATAAAACAAATCTCTCTGTAATTGTTCTGTTTATTTTTTGCAGTTGTAAGTTTCATTTGTCTCTATCAATACGTGAATAAAATTTAAATTCATCTGTACTTCTTTGTGTACATTTCATTGTCCATGAGTATATATGCTATAACCCTTCCAGCAAGAAAGTGCTGTGTATGAGTAGAATACCATAAACGTCATAATAAATGTGTAGGCATTATATTTCTACTGCATGTGTATTACACTAAGCATTGTTTTTAAATGTACAACATGAATTCGTTAAATGAAAAATGGTTGATCTTTTATGTAGATTTTGGTAAATTTTATTTTGAGATTTTAGTAGTTTATTAACTTTACAGGTAAGCAAGTTTTTTGGCATTCAAGTGCTCATATGTTAGGAGAAGCCATGGAGCGTGTATATGGAGGTTGTTTGTGCTACGGTCCACCCATAGAAAATGGATTCTACTATGATATGTTTCTAGAAAACAATTCTGTATCTAAAAATGAGTTTCCTATATTGGAAAGTGTTTGTAAAAGTATTATGAAAGAAAAGCAGACATTTGAAAGATTGGAAGTATCTAAAGAAGTTTTATTAGAAATGTTTAAGGTATGAAATTCTGTGTAATGAGGTTTCTTTAAATATTTTAATTTTAATTGTATAACAATTAATTTTTTTCTTTTCAGTATAATCAATTTAAGCAACGCATTTTAAATGAGAAGGTTAAAACACCAACAACTACCATTTACAGGTAAGCTGATTTTTTAAACATGATTTAGATCAGCGGTTCTGAACCTTTTGACTAACGCATAACATCTAAAAAAAATTTGAAAAACCTTAGTACCACCATTGCATTTTACAATGATTATTTTTCAATTTCTCAGTAGAAATATTAAAAAGATGTATATTTTGCCATTTGCACAACCTACTGGCTATTTGTGTTAAATGTGCACACATAAAAATATTAGACTGAAAATTGGTTACCCTTTTAATTATAAAAAATTAAGTTATATTACTTTAATTCTAAAATTTAGTGTGAAATTTGGGCTTGTTTAAGAGAGATCAGTTCTTTATGTGTGGTCTTATTTCACTTGGTTAGGATCCACTTTTAATTTTGTTCTGTGTTTATTTTTCAAGTATAACATGGAGAAAAATCCTTGTTCACACAAATAAGTTGTGCAGAAAGGCAATAAAAAAGCTTTATTTGAAATGTCTTTAAATTCTCCCTCTCTCTCTCTTTTTTTTTTTTTTTTTCAACCAAAGTTAAAAGGTGTGTTATTTTTGAAATCTTCCGTTAGAGTTCGATCACTGGAAATTTCTGTCAATTGCTTGTTTATTTCACGAGATAAAATTTCAGGTACATTTGAACAAAATAGATTTCTAATTCAATTATTATCCTTGGGAAAATACACATTGAAATTATTTATTGATGAAAAACAATAATTTTTAATGTTGGATGCTAATTCTTTTATTTTCAAATTATTTTCAGTTAGAAAACTTTCTAAACATGGCAAAAAGCTTAAAATATTATTATTGAATTTTTTTATCCTTGCTTGAGTTTTTTTTTATCACTGCATTTATTTTATCTCTAATGGTAAACAAATTAATACTTTGTCCTTGTAATCCTAAATTTGACTCATTTAACTTCCCAAAAATATCAGCTAAATATTCTAAACGTGCCAACCATAATTCACTAAATAAAATATCTTAGCATTTCAAACTTTAAATCACAGAGGCAAAAATATAATTTCTGATCAAAGCTGAAAAAAACTATTTGAAACTTTGCCTCAGGATAACTATCTTACTTCAGAATATAACAAAAGCATTTCATGTTCACTGCCCATCTCTTGGCATAAAATCATAAATATTCTTGAATTTAAAGCTCGGCTTTTAATAAAATTAACAATTATCGTAGCTTGATTCAAAACAATTTTCAGATTTTTGGGGATTGTTCTGGCTACTAAAACTTCATGAATGAAAGATGAATGGAACAGTGAGTAACTTTAGTTTCAGGTGCGACTTTCCTTATTTGAGAAATAACACCACAGTGTTTTCCTGTTAAAGCCTGAGCTCTGTCATTGCGTATGGTAATGCACTTATTCCAAAGACTATCATACTCAGACATACAATTGTCAATTACTTTGAAAATTTCATTTACAGTTGCTCTATCATGAAGAGATTCACAAAATACTCTTCAGCAATTTGTTTATTTTCTTCGAAACACATGTAAACTAATAATTGAACAAAGTACTTTCATCCAGTTACGATGCGGAATACTGACTATGTTTTATTTTTTGAATAAATGTTTTTTTTATGGAATTTGCCATTTCATGAATTCGTCGATTTACTATATCATTTGATAGTGGAATATTATTAAGTTATTATTAATCAGCTTTTTCATTCAATAATGTTAAAATGATATGTTTAGCTGCTGGAAATATAAGGTTTTCTCCAATAGTGTGAGCCTGCTCAATCTTTGCATTTCTAAGGCTTATTTGGTAATTAGCTTCTAAAGCTTTTTCACTTCCAGTAACAAAACTTTTCATTACTTGCTTACTATTTTTGAACTCTTAAAATCCTCTCTTCTATTCTCTGAAGAATATCTAAAAAATATTCTTCAGATTTATCCTTTATATTGGCAAAATGGCTTTTGAGAAACAGCGGTTTCATACTTTGATTGGATGATAGTTTATAGCAAACAACACACTGAGGTTGAGGGTCCATTTCATCTTCATTCCAAGTAAACCCAGATGATAAATTATTTTCACTAAATTTCCTATAAATTTCCTAGTAGATTGTCCTGGATCCATTATCTATGAATCATTAATTTTCCGCTTAGTTAATCCTAGCCATTTTTCCATTTTGAAAATCTAGGTTTGCTTTATTATTTTTCACAAGTATTTAAATGCACAATATATTACGAGTTCTTAAAAACAAACAATGATCTTCTCAAATCGCTTCAAAAAGTAAGGAATACAAAGCAACAAGAAGACAAAAATACCTGTTTTTAGAAACACCAAATTGAGGTAAAAAACGATGCTATTGGAAAATGGAGTATATGAACTTGGAAATGGTGGCGACATAGACATGTTGATAAATCGATCAACTCTAAAAGTATTAATGATATACTATTATCTTTTTACAGGAACTTATTTTTATTTTCTATTTAGATTGCTTAATTTTGTACTCTTTCAGTATTTATAAACAGAGATATTATTTGCTTAAATATTACTAGTTTAAAAGAACTATTTGTATTCATTTCAATTATTATTTTAGATGTGGTCCTTTAATAGATTTGTGCAGAGGTCCACATGTGAGACACACTGGAAAAATAAAGGCACTGCAGATATTGAAAGTATGTGAATTTTTGCCTGATTATTTAATACATTTTTTAATGATAATGAAATATGCATTATTCAGATGGAGTGTTTCATTTTTATTCAATGATGAAGTCTTGTCTATTGCTCCTAATCTGTTTTCCTGAATATTGAACATCATGTTCCCCCCCCCCCCCCCCCCCCCCCCAATAAATATGCAAAATTTTTCTTTATTCCTAATGCATTTACATTTTTAATTAAAATCTTAAACATACAGAATAGGGGAGTTTTATAGCTTTCATGCTATGAAATCTTGGGAAAATAGTTAATATTTTAGCATTCAAAATCAATGTTTAAAAAATGGTTAAAGTTAGAAAACTTTAAACTTTAAAAAATTATTTCTTAAATTATAAAATTAACTTGAAATATTTGTGTTACAGTATCTTATATTATAGTATATATATATATATGCATTTACACATATGTGCATCAAAATTTCTTTCAAATCTTGTGTGTTAATTCACTAATCCTCCACATTCTTAATAGATTCTGTGAAGTTTTTGTAGTAACCAGACTTGAAATTTAACATATTGTTTCGAATTTTACACTTAAATAAGTAATTTTAGTGAAATCATAAATAATTTAAAAAAAAAAAATTTAAAATAATGTAGTGTGAAAAATCTAGAGAGAGACAAGCTGTGCCACAAAAGTAAGAATACAGAGGCAAGTCCATTTAACATTGAGTAAATGGCTATATCGGGGATTTCGCGAGAAGTCGCCAAACTTGGTGACCATTTGACGGCATTTTGATCCGCTCTTTGTATCACCGTAATAGGTATTTTAATTGCATAAATGTAATTGATCACTATTTTAGCTGTTACTGTAGTTTGACCCTCATATTGCCTTCTAGTAATTTCAAGAAGCAGAAAATATTAGAAATATCTTGGCAGCCGGATAAAAACTATATAAGGCTGGAGAGAGCATCTGCTCTCAGTTGTTGCTGATAGCTCGACATGAGTTTGGAGTACTTAGATATCTCCGGGTAGTTGTGGTTTGTATTGCACTGTGTTTAATGTTTGCAGTAGCTTGAAATGTAATTACTGATTTAACTCTGTGATATTGTAAAGAGCTGTACGGCTGTTTTTGTGGAAAGTTCCAGATCTCTGAAGTATTTCTTTTGATAAAATAAATCTCATCAACCTATCATCAGAGCTGTGTGCATTCATCAATTACGAACCCGTACGCGCAAAGCAATATCTTCAGTCTGAGTGCATAGTCTTTCATCTCCATTTCCATTTAAATCCGTTTTAATTATAAAAAGATCTGATTATAGAATTGAAATGATAGCATTTAAAAAAAAATATGATTTTTTTATTTAGTCCAAAAGTGCAATTTGCCCAGAAGGACTATTAATTTCGCTTTGGCATTTTGCGTCGATTCACGATAAATGTTGTTTCACTTTTCAAATTGTTGCCACCGAATATTATCGCACTGTATTATATTTAAAGAAATTAAATAATGAAGAAGCTGCATGAATGTATGTATGTTTCTCGTGTTGTGATATAAAACAGTGGTACCTAGAGCCATCAAAATTTGAATAACGTAATCTTCCATAGAATATGGGCATGGAAAAGCCCTAATTTGAATTTGAAATTTGTTTTATTATTGATTTTGTATTTTGTAACATTTCAATGAATTTTTTGATTGACAAACTAAATGATTTCAAAGCGAGGAATGGCAACACTGTACGGGAAAAAAAAAATTTATCTCAAGTGTAGGGGACTTTATATCGGAAATTCTAAAGATATGCTCATTTAAAAATTATTTTGCGATATTGCTGTTGAACTGAATTTTATGATTTAAGTGCTAAGAACATGATATTTAATAAATAAAGGTAACACACAAAGTGTTAAAAAAAGCCCCTTGGGACATAATATAAAATCTGAAATGTTTAAGATTTTTTCTTTTCTCTCTCTCTCTCTTTCTTTTTTTCTTTTCTTTTTTTTGGGGGGGGGTTTGTTTGTGTGTGTGTGTGTGTGATGCCAGTTTAAAGATCTGTATTATTCTGAAATAAAATTTGCAATTTTTTTCTTTTATTACTTGATTTACAGTTTTTGCTGCTTCTTGATAATAGGTATGGGGCACAGGTCAAAACTAGCACTAAAATAGGAAAGTTTCAGCCCAATTTTAACATTATTTTTAGAGAAATATTGATTGAAGTTTGAAAAAAAATCTAATATGTTGTATTATCTAGTAAGTTTTACTATTATAAAGTGGTAACTAGATCTTGAGTGCTTTACCTTGTAAATTCTTGCATAGGTGGGAAGATGAGCACAACCAGGTAAACAGTGTAAAAGACCCTTCTATTTATCACAAAGTAGTTAACAGATGGCACAGACATGCTTGCAAACAAAACACCTGGTGAAAACTTAAATGATAATGTAACTCTAAATATACTACACTAAAGAGTAGTGTGAGACTTCACAATTCAATTTAAACTAGACAATTTAAACTAAACAACTTTAAACTAAAATAGAAATCCTAAACTGGCAGGATACTAACTAAATGGCAAGAATGCATAGCTGCTATTAAGATTAACAGCTGGTAGAAGCTAACAAATATGAGCTCACAATAGTGAAATCCTGCTCTGTCTAACCTTTTCACTCCAACAATTTAAATGCTCTTGTTTACTCTACTTAATTTATATCCTGGCTAGGAAACACAGAGAGAAATTAGAGAACTCAGAAAAGACTCACAGAATGAAATAACTATTAGTAACAATAAGCAGAACCCTACAATCTGTCTGTTTTTGAGAGCAGTAGTGTTCTATGTTGTTCTGTCAAATTCCACAGCCCTAAATATTGAATAAATGAAATAATTACTGGGCAGTAATCCAGTAGAATCAAAAGGAGAGAGAATAAGATACATTTAGCGAGGAAAATTAATATAAGGTTTCTTAAACATTTGTAAAAAAAAAAAACAATTAATTGAGCTCATTAAAACAATTTAATAAATTATGATGAATGTTTTAAACAAATTAATTTTCACCAAGTGAAGTATTTTGTTTTGGTTATTTAGCGAATCAATAAAAAAGGGTCAAAAGACAATTATGCTGAGTTATGGAAGATCTAAAAATTTTTTGTTTGCCATAATCCTTGAGGCAACAAATTTTAAATTTCTCTCGCTAAGTTCCATTGTGTAGTCCACTGACAAGCAGAGTTTTTAATTTTTCAAGAGTTCAAGTCTGATGTACAGTATTTAAGAACTGAACCAAAAATCATATTGCAAATAATATGAGTTATCTAATTTTTTGAAAAAATTACTGGGAGGAATTATAAAAGACATATAATAAGGTATGTTTACATTATTTCTTATATAATAGTTCCAGAGTTGCCAACTATCCCGATTTTTGACCGATCTCCCGCCAACCCGATTTACAATATATTTCTCCCGACTTTTTCTTATTCTTAAAATTTCTCACGATTTTTATGCAACTTGGCTTAATACTTTGTTATATGAATAAAAAAAGTGCTTTTAGACGTCTGAAAGCAATTGAATTTTCTCTACATTATATCTGAAACAAAACTGTGCGAATCAGATAACTTCTGCTTTGTGAGTGAGAGCATTATACGTATCCAGAAACGTCGTTCTCCAGTTCTCCAATGGGCATTGAGTTCCGCTGCATGTCAGCTGGCATATATTAGCCAATGAGGACAAAGCAAGTTGTTATTTGGATGTTCTTTAGCTATTTCGTTCATTTTGTCCTGTGTTATGTGAATACATGGGCCTTAGGGAAATAGTTTTAGAAATTATCATCTTTTGTTACATCTGCGAGAAGGTGAAATACTCGTGTACGTTTCAAAAATCGTACACAGTTGACTTTCCTTCCATTATTTCCTCAAGGAAATGTAATAAATTTGTGATGTGTACTGCCTGTCGTTGCGATTTTTCGATTTCGCATGGTGGAAGGGTGGATGTTCTCAAACATGTGCGTACACAAAAACACAAGGATGACATGAGTTGTTTAAAAAAAAACGAAAAATTAATTTTTTTTTTCAGAAACAAAGGACCAAAAAGTTATTAATGCAGAATGTCTGTTCTCTGCCTTTTTACTAGAGCTTAACCTGCCACTGAATGCATCAGATCACGCTGCAGCTTTATTTAGAAAAATGTTTCTCGATAGTGAAATTGCTAAGAAATACTCAAGTGCAAGAATCAAAACATGTGCAATTGTTAAAGAAATGGGTTTGAAAAATAAATCTTCTGTTATTGATTGCATTAAAACAGCTTTGTTCTGCCTCTCTACGGATGGAAGCAATAATACCGATTCAAAACTGTATCCAATTGTTGTTTCTTTTTTTAATCCAGAGTCTTCAGAAATTGAGTGCAGTTTACTTTCTGTTCCCACTTTAGAAGGACATTTGACAGGCTTTAATATAGCACAGCTAATTATTAAAACTTTAAAAGAATATGCAGGCCCTCTGGATAATTACTTAGCACTTTTTGCCAATAATGCACCAGTATTGGTAGGCTTGGAAGACTGGTGTTGCAGGAATCTTAAGAAAGGAAAATTCAGGTTTTCAGATTATGAGGTGCACCTGTCACCTCTTAAATTTAGCAGCTGAAAAAGGGGCAACTTCCTTATCAATAAATGTAGATGAACACATTGTTGATATTTATTATTATCTTGAAAGGAGTTCTAAAAGGAAGGAAAAATTGAAACAGTTCCAACAGCTGCATAACAGCAGTTTACAATTAGAAAAACTTAGATGAAGTTATAAAATCAGCTAGGATTGACACCCAGTGGAGTTTAATTGGAAAACTGAAAGGTGATGATGGAATTTTAAAATATAGTGAACTGTCTAGAATTGTGTTGGCCATCTTGACAGTCCCCATAGTAATGCAGAGTGGGAGAAGATTCTCAGTGTTGTTGCAAAAACGAGGACTAAATTTAGATCTAATATTAGTGATGACACATTAGAAAAACTTTTATGAGCGAAAGCAGGCCTACGTGGCAATTGCTGTGTACAAAATTATGAAGTTTCTTTCTTAAAGAAAGCAAAATCTGCCACTGTTTATAACATTTGTACGAAAACTGATTAAAGTGTCTTTTTTTTTTTTTTTTTTCCCTTAAACGTTGCAAGTAATAAAAATTTTTGTTATGTGTAAGGTGTTTTTGTGTTGCTTGCATTTAAGAATTAGTTACTATTTAAAGTTAATTCATGATTAAAAACTATATTTTTATCATTTAAAAAGTCTTTTTAACATTGTGAAAAATCTCCTGATTTTTGAGTATCATAGGTTGGCAAGTATGTAGTTCTATGAAGCAGTACTTTCTATGAGACATGAAATGTTAATAATTTTGAAATTAATTATAGGTTTGCTAATTATAACCAAATTATTAATGTTGGAGGGGGGAGAGGAAACAGTATAAAATTGCACCATGTATGATTTGTTTCACAATTTAATGTTAAAATTTCAACAATTAACATTTAATTTCAAACACAGGTGATGCTGATTTATAAATATGATCAAAATGAAAGGAAATGATGGGGTGAATCTGATGCCAACAAACTGCATCCTTCACCACTGCTAGTGGCATTATTAAACAGCAGTCTATCTTTTAATAGCAACATAAGTAATAACTTAGTTGATATTTATTATTTTGTCCTAATATTGTATGAAAAAAATATTATGTATTAATTTTAACCATGTAAAAATTATATTACTGTACTTAATGAAGCAAATAACGTCTATTTTTTAAATGTGGGAGAACATATGTATCTGCATTACATAAGGGGTTCATTTTGTCCAAATTCCATGTGTGATGCCTTTGTAGGAATAGAATGCCTGCACAATTAAGACGCGACTATATTGCAGTCATCTATAATACATGCAAGGAAAGTTTAAATAACATAATCCATTTTATATCTTCTCTGTTTACTATTTTTGAAATTTGTGTAGATTGTAACTTTTTCCATTTTAGTTAAGCATCAAAGTTGTCTAATTGTTTTATTAATTTACTGTTCTTATTTTTTTATTATCATTTACTACAGAATTCATCTACGTATTGGGAAGGGAAAGCAGAAGCTGAATCTCTTCAAAGGATATATGGAATTTCATTTCCAGATAATAAACAATTAAAAGAATGGCAGAAGTTTCAAGAAGAGGCAGCAAAAAGGGACCATAGAAAAATTGGAAGGGTTAGTTGAAAATTATGCATAATTTTTGTATGTTTTGAAAAATGGGTACTTAAGTATTATCCTGTCATCCATGAAACTGTTGCCAAGCAACGAGATGCAGTGCCAGTTATAGATAAGCATGACATAACAAGACACTCGCCGCATCTATAATTTCACTTGATGTAACTCTGATTGATTAAGACACATTTTACTTTTGTGAGCAAAGATATAAATTAACTGTTACTGCTAATTTTTCCCTTGTATTTTTTTGGGGGGGGGACCTCTCTTTTACAGAACAACAAGCCATAGATAATCATCAAAGTTATGGGACAATATCATTAAAAAATATATAGATATAGATATAGATATAAAATGACCAGCTAAATATCTCCAAGAAAACAGTACTAAATTGGAAAAATTACATATGTGTAGTTTTAGTATTCTAAGCAGAGCTTCTGTTAAAATCAGAAGTCCTAACAAAATAGGGGACATTGGTGAAAGTTTTATGTAAAGCAGACCAAATATTGATTGTTTATTAAATAAAGAGGCTTGAGTCCTTTCAGAATCCTGTAGGAAGGATTAGTGCAATTTTGACAGGATATCTGCCAACTTTCATGGTTCGATGGCAGCCAACTTTCATGATCAATGAGATAATACATAAATACTAAAAATTGTTCTGAAATAATCAGTAATAATTGGTAAATTTTTAAGATTTTTTTAAAAAAAGCATTTTGGTTTTCAAAAATATTTTAGCTGTGATGTATTTTTGTATTCCTGCTGCATGAATTTTTTTTATGTATAATTACAATGCTATAAAGATATTTTGTTATATAATTAATATAGCTATTGATTTTATTAATGCAAATTTTCTGCTCACTGAAAGTAAAAAAATAACTTATTTCCTAATAATTTGTAGGCTTTTTAAAACAAACAAAAGTTTTTTTTTTTCAAAAATATACTTGAAATTTTTCAGATTTATTCTTTTGTAAATTACGAAAAAAAATTATTCTGGTGAGAACCTTTTTTGTTTTTCTTATAAAAAGTTCTTGTTGTTCTTTTTCTAATTAAATAAAGAAAATTGTTAATGAAGAATTTAAATTTAAATGTTGAAATTATTAAAGTATGTTGCATTTAATTTTTTTTTTTTTTTTTTCCAGGATCAAGAGCTCTTTTTCTTCCATGAACTTAGTCCTGGTAGCTGTTTCTTTCAACCCAAAGGAGCACACATTTATAATGAACTTATTGCTTTCATTAGGGTATAGTTTTTATAAAGAAGTATTTTTATTGTTTAACAATATATTGAACATTTATGTGTTTAAGTGTGAACATTTATGTGTTTTCTAACCACTCATTTAAGAAAGGCATAGTTAATTTAATATGATTATAGCATTAATATGTGTTATTTTCACATGATCAAATCTCCTAACGTTATCTTAAAGTGCTATTTATTTGAAAAAATTACTGGCTACAATACCTAATTAGCAAGAACAAGCATACTTCACAAAGACCTTTATTTGAACTCTAAAGCCCAGGCTTTACTCAATAATATGGCTAGAGGTTCTGGTTTGTCTCAGGCGGCACGTTTTTAGGGGTAGCATTTTTCGTATTAAATGTTACTTTATAGAGGTTAGTCATGTAGATTTTCAAAGCAGGTGAGGAATAATGAGATTTCTAACTGTTGTAGAGAATCAAATTGAGAAGAAAAATAGTTTTTAACTCTAGATAATGTATTCAAGAAACAGACCATGTGATTTCAACTATCACATATTTTTATTCTTTCAAAACTTTTCAATGCATACCATGAATATGAACCAAATTATGATCACAGTGATATTAATAAGGAGTAGTTCCTCCTTGAGAGAGAAGTGTTTCAAATTTTTATTTCTGTTATTGCTAATGAAACCAAAACAGGAATGTGAAAGGACAGTCATTTTGAATTATTGCAGTTTATTCATTTTGAACTATCACAGTTATTATAAGTACAAAGTTTGAAATATTGTAATACTGCGGAAACTTTCTTTTCAATTACTGTAAACTTTGCTAGTTGTGAGAATAGTTTTCTAAATAAAATTCATTTAAGAAATATTTAAGAATCACAAGTACTGATTTTGCATTTAAAAAATCTTCTGGAGCATTCAAATGGACCTCTATGAGGTCATTGATGGTTTTGCAATAAAAAATGCAAGCAAAATGATATTACTTAAAATGTTGGAATTAAAGTTATTCTTCATAAATTTTTTTCCCCTTACCATATGCCTGTCTTCGACATTTCTTCCACGAGTCGACGAGCATCCCAATAAAATGATGATAGTGTAAAAAGTAAGGGTAAAAAATACCCTCCATAGAGTTGTCGGTAATAAAGTTTAAAATAATAGGGCAGTTCTTGAGGTGGTCACCATTCATTTCGCCCTGATGACACAGGGCAAGAAGCTGAATCTGACTGCAATGCGATGTAAATGTTGCGGTAAATAATCATGGCCATGTGTTAACTGAAAGCAAGCAACTCCAACAGCCCAAGGTAAGGAGTGTTTTTTTTTTTTTTTTTTTTTTTTTTTTTTTTTTTTTTTTTTTGTGTTGAGCAGGATATTAAATTTCTTATCAACTGCTGCATCAACATATGAGATAATTCTTTTAATATTATGAAAAGGTAAAGAGAAATTAGGTTGTGCCGTAGGGGATCTACCCTTGGCAAGTCTATCTGCCTGCTCATTTCCAAAAATATTACAGTGGCTCGGAATGCACTGAAGGACAGTGCTCTATTTTCCCTTAGCTCAAAAAGTTTCATTTTACAAGAATGAACCTGGGCATTTTCATTCTTCAAAAATAACCACAGAGTTTTAATATTTCCTTATATGTCATTTTGACATTTTTTGTGTTTTGTATATTGAAAAAAGCATCAAATTCAGGGATCATTCCAGGTGGCAAACTCAGGGGTCACTGTGGTTGGCAAAAGTTCCAGGTACGCTACTGTCTTTATTAAATTAAATTAAAATATTGTTCTGCCCTGAAGATAAGGATAGTGATAAGAGATCAACTTCAAGTTCATTGTCCCCCGCCCCCCGCCTAGCAGCGTGAAATTGATAAACAGATTTCGGAATGATTAGAGAAACAAAGGATATTGCCTTTATCCATTTTTTGCAGCAACTCCACTTTTTGTTTGATGGACCATTGAAACATGCTTCTATGGTTCGGCGGCGATAGATCTCAAGTTGGGGTTCCTGGTGGTCAACTGCTGTGGGCAGCATCCTGTTTCCAACGTTAAGCAACGTCAAATTCCAAACTGTGATTTCCGGTGATCAACTGCTATGGGCGGCGTCCTGTTTTCATGAAGGTGGCATCTTCAATACAATTGCTTTTCGAGGACTAGCGGTGATGTTTTTCCAAGCTGTGATCTCTCGTGTGTAACTACAGTGAGTGGCTTTTGCCAGTTCAAGTGCACTCAAGGTTTAGTTTAATTTTTCAGGTGCCTTCTTGGCCAAAAAGCATAGATTTATTTATAGTGAAGTGAATTTCATATTAACCGCATAGTTTTTGTTCTGTGATATGTTTTTCGCATATTGAATGCCAGTATTCAAAGATCAGGTAAAATATTTACTGTATCATTAATAGTGTAATATTCTTTAAAGGGAAAAACCCTTGGAGTTAATGAATAGTTAACTAAGTGTAATTTGACAATGGTTATGTTACACTCTTTAAGTTTCTGATATTGATTACATTTATTATTGTATTTTTATTTTTATATATATTGTTAATAAATTGGTTAAGTTTAAAACTTTTGTCTTCTATGTCTGCACAATATATAATCCTTGGGAGCTTCTGTTGCTATTTCTGCTAAATGTTTTTATAACTTTTAAACTTTGTTTATGCATCATTTTAAACTAAGCTAAAATTATCTAATTATCTATTTCAGTTAATGTTGCAGCTTAATCTTTTAATTGGATCCGGCTTATTATTTTCTGCAGACTGTTAGAGCAATTTTATAAAAAGTAAGCTGTTTGATTATGTCAAAAAGAGTTTCCGATTCTGGAGCTGCCATAGGATCTACAAATCGAAAGCATGTTTTGATGTCCATCAAACAAAAAGTGGAATTGCTGCAAAAAATGGATAAAAGGCATGAAGAAAGTGACAGAGAGGTTAGTGAAAACCAAAAATTTTCGATTGACAAGTTAGTCAGTATTCTCGGCACAGCAATTACAGGACTTGAACAGCGGAACTTTGTAACTGAACAAGAAATTATGTCTGTTTATAGAATTAAAGAGAAAGTATTAGCACATAAAACAAAGCAACTTAAACAACTTACATTAAAAGAAATGTTTAATAAAGTAAACAAATAAATATTAAGGTTTTTTTTTTTTTTGTAAATTTTGATACCCTTTAGATCATAATTGCTCTTTATTTCAGAAATTATGGTTTCATATTTTTAATTTTATAATTTCTGCATGCCGTTTTACCAGATTTAAATTTAGGATCTATAATCCGGAAAAACCCCTAATCTGTAATCACCGAAGTCCCGACGGGTCCGGATTTAAGACTTTGTACTGTATATTCTTCCAACTGTTGACAGTAACATCAGATTTGCTGACCTGATTTGAAAAGGAATAGCCTGTTTAATATTTCATCCAACTCTGATCGTAAGAGCATTACAGTCAAAAGTCTTTTTTTCAGACTCGTCGGGACTTTGGCGATTCCAGATTATAGATCATCAGTTTAAATCTGGTAAGGTGGCATGCAGAAATTATAAAATTAAAAATATGAAACCATAATTTATGAAATAAAGAGCAATTATGATCTAAAGGGTATCAAAATTTACCAAAAAAAATCTTAATATTTATTTGTTTACTTTATTAAACATTTCTTTCAGTGCGTGCATACGTAAAGCATACGTTAGGCATAGTCAAAATTAGAAAATTGCAACCAAAAAACTATTTGATGTGTATTTGTGATATTTATAATGATGAATTTGATTTAAATCATATCAAAATGAAATACATCGAGATGAAATACTACATTTAGTAAGGAATTATAAGTCCGAATAAAATAAAAACATCTGCCCTGAAGATGAGGATAGTGTGCTGACAGATCAACTTCCAGTTCATTGTGCGTCCCCCCCCCCCCAAAGTCCGCAGCAGCGCATGAAATTGATAAACAGATTTCGGAATGGTTAGAGAAGACAAATCACCTCTCCGGACTTTCTTCATGCCTTTATCCATTTTTTGCAGCAATTCCACTTTTTGTTTGATGGACATCGAGAAACATGCTTTCGTTATGGAAATCCTTTGGCAGCTCCAGAATCAGAAATTCTTTTTGACATAATCAAAAGTTCAAGCTTACTTTTATAAAATTGCTTTAACAGTCTGCAAAAAATAATAAGCCGGATCCAATTAGAAGATTAAGGAACAACGCAATCTGCAACATTAGCTGAAATAGATAATTAGATAATTTTAGCTTAGCTTATACCGTCCGTTATACATTAAACGCGCATGCATAAATGTATTATGCGCATGCGTAAAGATAGTATGCATATGCGTAAGCGCATTATGCATTTACGCATGTGCAGGAAGTTTGTAGCTTTGAGGTGTGGATTATGACTTTTGACTGTATCATGTCACATAAGTGCTCAAACTTCTAACTCTTTTTGATCAATTTGGGATATTTTCTCTGCAAAGGAATCGGCATTCTCTCAACTGTTGGCAGTAACATCAGATTTGCTATGTCAGTCATCTGCCATGATTTGAAAAGGAATAGTTAATATTTCATCTAACTTTGATCATAAACTTTCCTTTGAATCATCCTTGTATGGCAGTAGTTTTGCTGTTTTTCCTTAATCTTTTCCAAATGTTGACATATAGCATAAACTCAATTTTCATCATATCTCACTGCATGTCTGAAAAAATGAAGCTAAAAAATGTGACCCAGTAAAATGTTGTATAGTTCCACTCGCCATTATCATTGATTAGTCATGAACTTGTCTAAAGTATCTCTATATTGTATGAAGCTTGCACAATCTTGAGCATGTGGTATTCATAAAAGTCTTGTACTCTAATCTCCAGTCTTTGAATACTGGTGATCAAGTACAGTTCTATTTTGTGTTTTAAAGCATCATAATCAACTGTTGATATCTTGGCATTTTTTGGGCTCAGTTTAAAGAAACGTATAACTTGCCAGTCTAAAAGTGTAGGAACAAACTCTGGCCATATCATCTGATATTTTTTACTTTTTCCTGCATTCTGAAAATTTTGTTAGCGACTTCTTTAAGTCAGTTAAAAAAAGCATCACTATCGATACAATTTCAATATTTATGTTCGTCATTTCTGTAGGATGAAAATAGATGTTAAATATAATCCGGAATTATATAATATATGTGTGTATTTTAAGCAATATGTGTACTTTAAGCTGATGTATTACTTAATTTAATAGATAGATCTTTAAGTTGTTTATATAAGAAGCTTAATTATATAAGTATGTACAAAAATAAAAATACTTTTGAAGTACCCCAATGTATTGCATTCAGAATTAATACTTTACAGTCCCTAATTTTAACTTTGTAAAGTTTTATGTTGCAATAGAGCAAAGTTAGTAAAATGCAGAGATAGATAGAATGAGATTAAAATTGACTTACTGAAACAGTGTACAGGTTTCCCTTGTTTTACAAAAGTTGTGTGTTCTTATGATGAAAACCAAAAATTTTGTAACACAAACAAGCAAAAATGTTTAATTATTGTGGGCCAAATATTTTAACTTTCTGAGGCCTCATTTCCCAAAAATTTTCATGTCATAACAAATAGCATACAAAGTCTTAAATAACACATAACACAAGAATAATACATGCTGCAGAGATAAACAGAACTAACATATATAGTGTACTTTCAGCTTAAAAAATAAGGCAAATTCCCAAAAACACATATATTAAAGGCATAGGTATGGTAGTGTCAGCATTGATGCGTTAAGCTGAGTAGTAGAGAAATTCAGTAGCAAAGATGCAATATATCAAAATAAAGGAGAGACAGCATTGTTTATATCCATTCATATCACTGCATGTATCATTTTTCTGACTTTTAGATTCAGTACTAAAATTTTGGTTTGTTATCTGCTGTAGCTGAAAAGGTTTGAAATATGACAGTGTGCTTGAAAAAAGATTATTATTATTATTATTGCTATCATACAGCTTTTCATAGGTTTTTTTTTTTTGTGATTAGCCCTTTGGGAGTTTTTTCTACCGTATAATTCATCCTACAAAATTCTTTGAAACTTTCATGGCATTTCACAAAAAGTTGTATTTTTTTCACAGTACTCTGTGAAGCAAATGCTACTTTTTTTTTTTTTTTTTTTTTGTGTGTGTGTGTGTGTGTGTGTGTGTCTGTGACATTTATATGTCAAACTGAAAATTATCCTCAAATTTCTTTCAGAAAATGAAAAAAAGGCACTATTTAAAAATAAATAAAATAAAATATGAGGTGTACTTATAAATTACAGTGTATAATTAGAAAAATGAACCACGTGGTATTCAAGTTCACTTACCAGCAATGTACAATGCTCTTGTCAAACCAGATATAGTTAATTTTTGTACATATGAATATGGCTAAAAATAGAAGACATCCTTATCCTTTATTAAAGGAAGCTGGTCATCAAACATCTGCAGAGTCATGGGGTACTGGTCAAGCCGTTACTCGTATTCCAAGACTTCGAAGAGGTGGAACTCATCGGTTTGGACAGGGTGCTTTTGGAAATATATGTCATGGAGGGTGTATGTTTGCATTTACTAAAACCTGGCGTAGATTGCATTGCAAAATAAATTGATTTTTGATCCATTGCTTACGGGTTTGTGTTATATGTTCTGCAGTTGCTGCAACTAGAGTCCCAGCTTTGGTTATGTCTAAAGGACATAAAATTGAAGAAATACCTGAAGTACCATTGGTAAATAAGCAATAAGCTTCAGGAATTTGACTAAACAAGCTGTTAAATTTTTAAAGTAAAAGGTTGGTCCAATAACCAGAAAGTTTACAAATCAGAACATTTTAGTGCAGGCAAAGGTAAGATGAGGAACTGTTGAAGGATTCAAAAATTAGAAGCCTTTTAACAAATTTACTTAAAAATGGTACTTCCTATAAATGGACAACCAAATGTCAAATAGCTTTTCAAAGTTTAAAAGTTGCATTAATTTCTAGACTCATTTTAACTTTTTTTAATTTAAAAGTATCCTTTTCATGTATTCTAAAGAAGCTGTTGGTGCATTTTGAAACAAAATCATCCAGATGATAATTTACATCCAATTGCTTTCTATTCTAGAAAATAAAGGTCTTATGAGCAAAATTACAATTACGGAACTAGAATGTTTATCCATTGCTAATGCCATAGACAAGTTCTATTATTATTTACATGGTAATTATTTTACTGTACATACTGATCATGCTGCCCTAGCTTCGCTTAAGAACTTTTAAACATCCTACAGGTAGATTATTCAGATGGTCATTAAAATTATCCATCTATGACTTTGATATAAAATATAAGAAAGATTCTACCAATATTGAAGCTGATTTTGTTATCTAGAAATCTTATTTCTCAACATTTGAATTTGCAAGTCAATTTGTTGTCATTAGAAGAAATTAAAAAGCATCAAAATTTAGATAATGTATGTAATCCTAAGTATAAAAAATTAATGATGTGTTAACTATTAAGAAGCAAGGATTATATAAAATTGTTATACCAATCTCTCTTCATACTAAATTACCTGAAAAAGCTCTTATTGAGTTTGGCCATATTGGTGTGTCCTCAATGCTAAATTTATTATCCTCTCAAATAGTACTGGGTAAAAATTGTTCAAGATATTAGGAATTACTGTAAGCATTGCGAAGTATGTCAATTTAACAAGAAAGAAAAACAAAAGAGATTTGGTTTAATGCATGCCTTACCATCCGTAAGTGAACCTTTTGAATTATTGTCTATTGATGCTGTTGGTGGTTTAAACTACTATAATTCTGTTAAGAAATATATTCTCTTTATTATAGATAATGCTACTCATTATATATGGACTTTTGCTTCTTATAACTATTGTAACTATTGGTACTACATAAATTATATGAAACAAAATTTTCATATTCAACTACCAAAGAAAATTTTAAGTGATAGAAATGCTGCTTTTACTTCTTCAAAATTTAAATACTTTTTAAGAAGTAATAATGTTGCACAATTATTAACTGCTGCTAATAGACCTCAAACTAATGGTAAAGTTGAAAGAAATAATCTAACTATTATACTAGATTAAAATATAAATTAAATTCTTACCAAGGTAATATTCCATGGACTAAATTACTACCTCAGGTAATCATAGACTATAATAATATACCATATTCTGTAAAAAAAAGTCATACCATCTTATCTAATGTATAATAAATTGCCATATAATTCTTTAACTAAAAACACAGAAATATACCCACCAATTGAAGAAGCTAGGAAAATTGCCCAAAAATGCTCTGATGATTATCACAGTGTAAAGAAAGAAAGATATGACACCCATTATAAACCCAGTAATTTTAAAATAGGTGATTTAGTAATGTATGAAGAATTTCAGTATCCTAATACCCATAAACCTTCTCCTTTTTCAGGCCTTTACAATATTTTAAAAAATACTCTTAAGTTACTTTTGAAATAGATAAGCCTAATCCTCTTATTAAAAAAGAAAGCAGAAATTGTCCATTCAACCAGATTCAGGCATTTTAACTCATTTAGTCAATTAACTCTTATTAGAATCCCTATTTCTGTACAAAATTAGTTTATTTTACTTTTCTAAGTTATGTATCAAAATTTCTTACCTGATTATGACTTTTTTAACCTGATGAAAACTTTAAAATCTAATTATAACAATTTCCGGATTTGATTATGCGAGTAATTTGTCTTAAACTTCAATCTTAATTCTGGGTAACTTTTTATTTTTGTTATGAATTAATTAATGTGAAAGATTTTAGCAAACTTTGATAATTGTACAATGCTAAAAACTAGTTACCTTTTTAAGGAATGGAGGTTTTTTGATTTATTGTACTTAAGCATCCCCCATCCAAAAATTTATTCCATTACTTGCAAATTGTCTGTGTTATAATTTCAAGTTCTCAGAACAAATGAAGAGCACTTGGAACTATTTCATTTCTGTGTCAAGATCTGTGAAACTATTTCATCAAAAACTTTGAAAAAATTTTTCATTGACCATTTTTCTCCTATTTTGAAAAGAGAGCTTAAGAAATTTCAAAATTATGTTTTGTCAATTTATTTATATTTACTCTTATTTAGAAATTAGTAACCCCTGAATTCTTTCCCTCTGTTCTAAAAATTGTAATGACTTATCTGGATTGCATCATTTCTAGATCAGTCCATCTTGCATGGCCTGTGCAACGCTGATGACGTAACTCTGAGAACTGAAGCCTTTCTAACTTAAACCAAAAACTTTTTCTTAAAGACTGCATCTCGGATAAATGTGCAGTTAGCTTGCAGCTCTGTTCCCACTTTGACACTATTTCAGATTGTTATGCATTGTCGTGCTGCTAACTGTGCCGTTGTTTAAAATGTGATAATTTATATAAAATTGTGGTGTGCGTATTGCACTCATGATCATGTGTAATGAGAAATATGGTCTCGATAATTAGTTCATGTCCAGCAGTAAAAATTATGTTCATTTTGGCTATGTCTGTGTACAAGTTTCTCCTTTGAGTGTTATCGTTTTAATTATGTTGTGAAATGTCTCCAAGCTATAATGCAGAGAACCATCGTCAATCTGTTGCTGCTTACTTCAAGTTTTTATCATATATATATTCAATTTTTATTTGTTTACTTATTTTGGCATTTAATTTAACTATGCTTTTATTTATTGTAAGGAAGAGTACAGGAAAAGAGGCTTTCAAGAAGTTGTATCGCCAAATGTATATAATAGCAAATTGTGGGAGACATCTGGACATTGGCAACATTATTCAGTAAGTATGGTTCTCCCTCCCTGTATATAAAATTTTAATTGATTTGATACTTTGATATTTTCACACGCATTTTCTATTTATTTCACTAATATTAGGTGCATTAAAGTACTATTGGAATCAGTGTTTTTAACTGTCATTTATATGAAACTAACATATTTCAAGTACAGGCAGGCATAATTTTATAAATGTTGAAAAAAATATTAAAAAATATGCATATTAAAATATTTCTTATTCACAATAAAAAATGTATTAGGTAATTATATTAATATGTGTATAAATTACTTAATAATTATTTATACTATTAATGGCATAATGTCACACTGTATTGAAGCATGGCAACTGACTTTTTTTAAAATTTGTATGATGTGCTTAGCTGTTTGCACTGGGATGCCATAGTGGCAGCATTACAAACTTTACCTCAAAATTGCTAAATTTTAAAGGTTGAAGTACTTTCTGATTATCTGCATCCTTAGTTTCAACCTTCAGCTGAGATACCATGCTTGGCAATTTTTCAAGAATATTTGCGATACTACCCATGTATTTGCATACCATGTGCTTTTGTTTAATTGTCATTTTGTTGAAAATACATTTTTCTCTGAAGTGCTGTTTTTTCAGGGGCAAGGGGTCATAATAAATTGTAATAATAGGACTTTGCTGTTTATCAGCTGATGAAAATGTATAAATGAAATGAAGGCCATAGCTGTCAAGATCTACTGGCTGTAAAAATTATCCATGTAGACTTTTGTTGTCTGACATAAAATTACTTATTTCTTTAAAAATACTTTTTATTATTATTTTTATCAGAACAATAATTATGAGCCATAAAGACAGCCAAAGGCATTTTTTCCGCCAGTTCACAGAATTATGAATAAGTTAGTAACTTTTCATTGGAGTATTGATAATTAGAAAGTACGAGGCGTATTCGGAAACTAAGTACCGTTTTGAGGAAAAAAAAAAAAAAAAGGTGAAACAATTTTTTCGAATCCAATTTTATTTTGACACGAAAATACGTGTTTTAAACTATTTTTCAACATAGTTTCCACCAATGATCAAACACTTGTCATAGCGGTTGACCACTTTTTGTATACCATCGTCAAAGAAACTTCCCGCCAGTTTCGATAACCACAACTCCACAGCATTTTTCGTGTCATCGTCAGATCCAAAGCGCTTGCCACCAAGCTCGCGCTTCATGTGCAGGAACAAGTGATAGTCAGAGGGCGGCAAGTCCGGGCTGTACAGCGGGTGATCGAACTGCTCCGAATGAAACTGTCGAACTAACGATTGAGTGACACCAGCAGTATGGGGCCGAGCATTGTCATGGAGAAACACAATTCCTTTACTGAACATTCCTCTTCGTTTGTTTTGAATAGCACGCCTTAGTTTTGTTAAAGTCTCACAATATCGTGCAGCATTAATGGTTTCACCTCTGGGAAGAAATTCAGTAAGCAAAACGCCTTTCCTATCCCAGAGGACAGTGCACATGATTTTTCGTGATGACATTGTCGCTTTGAACTTTTGTTTTTCGGAGAATGAGTGTGTCTCCACTCCATCGATTGTTGTTTCAATTCTGGTGTGAAACGACACACCCAAGTTTCATCACCTGTCACAATTTGGTTTAAAAAGTTTTCTCCCTCATCACTGTACCGTGTGAGAAATGTCAGGGCATTACCAAGTCGCTTTGTTTTGTGAACATCAGTGAGCATTTTTGGAACTCATCGGGAACACAGTTTGTGATAATTCAAGCGGTCAGACACAATTTCGAACAAAACAGTACGTGAAATTTGTGGAAATGCCTCTGAAAGAGTTGTCATTGTGAAGCGTCTGTTCTCATGAATTGCTTCATCAACTTTCCTTACCAAATCATTGGTGACAACAGAAGGCCGACCACTCCGAGCCTCAGCGGGGACATTTGTTCGATCTGCATTAAACATTCTTACCCACTTTCTCACCATTCCATCACTTATCGCATATTCACCGTAAACTTCTGTCACTTGACGATAAATTTCGGCTGGTTTAACATTCTTCGCGTTCAAAAATTTAATCACGGCACGAATCTCACAGTCAGCGGGAGAACTAATTGCCTTAAACATTTTACGCCTACCACAGCGCTGCGATGGCGCTAGAATGAAACGGTACTTAGTTTCTGAATATGCTACGTAGCAAGACTAATGTTCAGAGTATTCCATAAAATATAAGTTATGTGACTAAATTTATCTATGCTTTTATTATCTATTTTTTGTATAAATTTATAATTTATTCCAGTCATCAATTGTATAAATCTATTCCTCTTTATGTTTATTATTTATTAAATATTTAATCATTTAAAGCTATAGTTAAAAAATTCTGATAATATTTCCAACTCAGGTTTACTTGGCTGACGTTTTTTACTCCAAAGGGCATTAGCCCAGAAGGGTTATATTTCGTTTTGGCACTTTGAGTCGAAAACTTTTAAATGTCCATTTCACTTTTCAAATTGTTGCCACCAAATATTATTGCCTTGTGTTATATTCAAAGAAATTAAATAATGAAGAATCTGCATAAATGTATGTATGTTTCTCACATTGTGATAAAACAGCAATACCTAGAGCAATCAAATTTTGAATAATGTGTGTCTCCACCCGAATTATGGGCATCCGGTAGCCCAAATTTAGAATTTGTTTTATTATCTATTTCAGAAATTCTAAAGATATGCTGTTTTACATATTTTGTGATATTGCTATTGAATTGAATTTTATGGTTTAAGTGCGAAGAATACATTTTATAAATAAAGGTAGCACACAAAATGTTAAAAAAACACCCCCCTTTGGACATAATTTAAAATCTGAAGCCTTTCAGATTTTTTTTATTTTTTTATTTTTTTATTTAAATCATTTCGTTTCAGTGTCTTATTATGGGGTAAGTAAAAAAGATTCTCATTTCAGCTTTTTTATTCAGAGTCTACGCTAAAGTGAAAATGCTAATTATGAATTATGTATGAAGTGACACCAGCAGTATGGGGCCGAGCATTGTCATGGCGAATGCTCCACTCTAATGCTCACTCACACACAATAATGCTCCACTCTGTATTCAGATACTGTTTGGATACAACATTAACGCCACTGGTGTTGATACCTAATACAGTGAGCATGAAATTTTTTTATGAAATAATAACATATGATAAATATCCAATCTCTTTAAAAACACATGCTCCCTAAGTATCTCATAAATATAGTGAAGCAGAAGAAAATAGTATTTTGATTTTTTTCACTTTATACACCTGCAGAAAAAAAGAAAAGGCCAAGAAGTGTCACACTTTTTCTTGCCACTTTTAGAAAGTTTGAAATGGGATATCATAAAAATATCTAAACCCAATTTAATTTTAAGAGGTTTTAGCTTAAGTAGCATCTAAATGCATGATTTTAAAAAGACAGTGCTTATGTTTTCAGCTGTGTTTGATTAATGAAAAAGTGCATATAGAAATGAGTAATATTTATAGTAAAGAAAAAAGTGATTATTTTAAAATAAATTATAAGTGTGCAAGTAGAAAAACATAATTGAAATTATTGGTTTGTTTTTATATTTCAAAGCTGACAACCTATATTTTCCTATGAATATGAGCATCTAGCAATAGAAAAAATTCTTTTTGCAGTATAAAATTTTTGTTTGTGAGAAGTAAATTCTATTTTCATTTATAAAATTTTAATTTCTTGAATGCTTGCTCTGAGTTACAAATATAAAAAAAAGAAGTTTTATTAAAACCTTTGCATACAAATGTCTGCATGCCTTTTCATTAGTCTTGATGATTAATATTAGCTGCTTATATATATATATATGTATTCATAGGTTGGAGCAAAATTCATGGCAACTATTTTTTTTCTTGAAGAGACCAGTCCGGTTGTAAAATGTGACATATACAGATAAAAGGACAAGGTCTTAACTACGTGTGTGGACAATGAATAGCACTGAAATATCGTAACACATTAATTTATTACAATAGTATACAGGGCAACATGACCTTCACCGGGCAAAAGAATGAACACAATACACATAAAGTTGACATGATAAACCTGGTCTTAAAGACCCTCAATGTAATCCCCTGCTACTGTCACCACATGCTGCCATCGATGTGGGAGGCGCTGAATACCATCAGCCTCAGCATTTGCTGCACCATGTGGGAATCGGATCATCTGTTGGCACCCAGCATTAGCAATGTCCTCTCGTGTTGCATACCGCCTACCATGTAGTGGTTCCTTAATCTTGGGAATGAGATCAAAGTCACAGGGCGGAAGGTCAGAAGAGTACTGTGGACGCTCCAATTCTTCCCATCCCCAACGTTGGAGTAGCTGCCATACACACTCTGCTTTGTGTGGTCCTGCATTGTCGTGCAGAATTACTGCACTGTCCGCAAGATCTGGGTGTTTATCCCAAACACCACGTCGCATCAGGAAGTCCCTATAGTACTGTGCGGTCACTGTTCTGCCATGAGGAACAAAGTGGCAAACAATGACACCCCTGACATCATGCGCGACGATCACCATCAATTTGACTGGGGAAGTATTCTGACTGACCTTCTACTGCCTTTGTGATTCTAGTTGTCGCCACTCCGTGGACTCACGTTTCAGTTCTGGTTCGTATGCCCTGGCCCAAAATTCATCGATGGCAATTATTCGTGACAAAAATTGATCGCTGTCCTGTTGCCAGCGTGCAAAGTGGTCGGAGCATGTTGCATAGTGCACCCACCTTTGAACTTCCGTCAGTGCATGCGGTACACACCGCAAAGCGATTTTGTGTAGGTGTAGCTCATTACACAATATCCTGTAGATGGTGCGTTTCTCAATGCCACCTGCCCTCTCTAACTCCATTAACGTCCATCGTCTGTCTTCGTCCATGAGGGGTTCGATGACGGCACGTGCCAATTCCGTACACTCACTGGTCGTCCCGAACATTGCTCATCACTGGTTGACACACGTCCTTGCTGAAACTTTCCTACCCACTGTGCTACTGTACAATATGGTAGGGCATTCTAATTCACTGTGACATTCCATCGCATTTCTCCTCGGAGAACGGCTATTTTGATGTAAGTACGCTGCTCAACACGGGTTACTTCAGTCTCGCATGACACTCACCAACTGACTGATTTCAGAGCCCTAACTACCACAAAGCCAGATATCAAAGATCCATCTGTTGTGTTGCATACACACTATGCCTGCAGAACTTCCCCAGGACACATATGATGTGACATTTTGTGATGTGTTTACATACCTACAAGGAAAAAACAGTTGCCATGACTTTTGCCCCAACCCTCGTATATACACACGCACGTGTGGTATTTTTTATGCAAATTTTGATATATGGATGCATAAACCAGTAATTTCCATACGTGGCTGTTTCCAAACATAGCTTTATTCCATAATAATTCACATTAGATAATTTTTGTAGACAGGGTATTTTTCAATCATAGTTAAATACGATAATTTCTATATACACAAGTAAAAAGGATACACCATTTTTGGGGAATGGACATATTTTTTTGCGAGCAGCATTTATGCCTAGTAGATGCAGAAAGTACTCTAAACTGTGACTGGTTAAATTTGGGTTGTTATGTAACATGAAAAGATCTTGAATTTGGGAGAACAGATGAATTTAGAGGGGAGAACATAAAATCTAGAATAGTTAATTTTGAGGTTGCCATATATTTCTTAGAGCAGCCATTGTATTTTTTTATATATCTTACATGTGTCATACCTTTTAAACCAGTTTACATAAAAATTTATTGTATTGAATGATGATTGAAAAGTAATTTGTCTGCCAAAGAGATGATTTGAGATGTGTAAAAATAAAGATGGAGATTCTTCAATTCAGTTTTGTTTTGTTCATCAAGCCTTCACCCTCAGCCACACGACTGCATTAAAACTTTGTGTATTTTTATATATATATTTAAACTGTTTAACTTATTTGATGTGTATTAATAACAAATAACTGATATTACTTAAATACCTTTCATTTTCAATGTGTATATGTGTAATGTATGTTACATTTCATCAAACTTTTTCAGGAAAATATGTTTTCTTTTGAAGTAGAGAAACAAACTTTTGCATTAAAGCCCATGAATTGTCCTGGCCACTGGTTAGTAAAATAATATTCACTCTTTCAAAAAATTTTGATATTTTGCATTTGTTCTCAGCTGTTTGTTTAATTAAATATTTTCTAGTCTGATTTTTGATCATCGACCACGCTCCTGGAGAGAGCTTCCATTGCGAATGGCCGATTTTGGTGTCTTACACCGAAATGAGATATCTGGAGCTCTTACCGGTCTTACAAGAGTCAGAAGATTTCAACAAGATGATGCACATATATTTTGCTCTTCAGAACAGGTATTCTGACATTCCACATTTCTAAGAAAATGCATTTCAAAATTTACAAGTTATGCATTTGTAAATTGTACCATAATTATTTATAAAAATGAAATTACTAATTAAATGTTACATTTTCAGATTTCTAGTGAAATCAAAGGTGCTTTGGAGTTTCTGCAGCATGTGTATGGAGTCTTTGGCTTTACTTTTGATCTTAAACTGTCAACAAGACCTGATAATTTCCTTGGGGATATTGAAGTGTGGAATGATGCAGAAAAGGTAATGAAATTATTTTAAACAGTGTGCATGTAATAATTTAATCATTTTATCGCGAACAACGTAGAACTATACATGCAAACTTATTTTATTCTACTTGTTGTCCTCCCACTCATCTTATAGCTGTAGTTGAGGATGGAATTAAACTTTTAAATTCTTAAATTGTGTTGTTTTTGTTCTTTAAGATAAATTCATAGAGTCGTAAAAAGAATTTATTATCTTGAATATACTACGGAGTTTTAACAAAACTCTTTTGTATAAAATTAAGACAAACACAAACAATAAATATTTGGTATCTATGGAGTAGTGTAACCACCTTAGTAGAAGGTGCCAATTTTTGGTAAATTATCAGTTTGAGTAAACAGAGTTACCATTTTTGTGAATGCTTTATTAGTTATATTATAATCTCTATTTTTTTTAAGGCATATTGTTATATTTTGGTCCTAAACTCAGTTTAAAAACATTTGTAAGATTTGCCTGACAGGGAAGAAAGTGCAGCAATCTGCAGATTTTACTTTAAAATCACAAATGTAACTGTAAATGTCACAGTAAATAAATTAAAGTGTTACGCAGGGAAGTATCATGTAGTTCTGATTCTTAGTCTAAATATTAATTTAAAGACCTTGAAGAAGATGGCTTTATATACAAACAGTTAATTATATTTAAAACTTTTCTGATCCTGAAACTGGTGTACATGTGCTGTGCATAAAAGGAATTTGGAGATTAACAGAATGATGTAATAAGAAGTTTTGCTATTATAAGTCATCATGCTCTTTCCTCTTTAAAATGTAAAAGAATGCTTTTTCAAAATTAGTTATGAGAATACAAATTTTAAAGATGTAACATAATTTGTGTTTTTATTATTATTGTATTTACCATGGATGTAAAAATTTGAAACTTGCCTAATGATAAAACATACATTCATACAATTTCTACTGGAATGAGGAATTATTCACTCTGAAAGAAAGTGTACGGAAAGCTATAAAATGAAGCTCTACTTTAATTCGCAGGAAACAGTGAAATGGAGATGTAAAAATATTATGTGCCGAGGGAAAAAAAAGCGTTACATTCTCAAAACTGATATGAAGTATCGAGAATTAGTTTCTTAATGGCAGTTCGTTTCATTTATGCATGGTGTTTAGAATTAACTTCCCTTGAATTTGGTCAGTAACCAGCTTGATACGAATCATTGCACTGTTGCTGATTCGAGCAATTGCACAAGGGAAGTCAAGCCATGCATAAATATCTAGACTGTCAGTTAAATATGCAGCAGTTGTAATATTGTCAAAGTCTTTTTCTTGTCTCCCCCCAAATCAGTGTTGGTTGTATCCTTTCATCCCAGAGGGTGTACAGCAGGATTTGCCTAGAAAAAGAAGAATGTTCTTTAGTTGCTGTGGCTAACCGTTTTACCAGAACTTATCTTAAAGTTATTCATGGCCTTATCATATATTCAGGCTGTTGGAAAGGATACAACACTCAGGAATTAACATAGACAGGATTTAAACATTTCTGCATAAACCATAAATATAAATTTATCGTTCCCGATACTGGTTGTCATATGCAAGCTATATGAAAGATCATGGAGCGAAAGTGTGAAATGGTGAAATAAACTTTAACATGGCACTGACCATAACCAATTAGATTCTTATTTAATTAAATGTATGTAGAATTTACTTTCAAAACATGAGAAGAGCACGGATATTGCATTATTAAATGCTTTATTTTACTAATAAGAAATAGATAAAAGTAATAAAAGGTAAGTTAAGTAAAAATTAATATTGCAGGTGATGTCATGATAGTTATACTCAGTCCACACAGGATTCATGTAATGATGAACATTTCTCATACACTATCAGTTCCACAGGCACGTAGGCTCATGCCTTGAGAGAATATGTTATTCTTGTAACATCCACAACTAGTTTAGATAATATGATCAGCTTGGCTACATGGAAATTAAACATAGAAGGAAACTATCTGTTTCCACCAACTCTTGGAGGATTTACAAGCCGTCTGCTTGCCTCCGCTCGTCTCTACATCTGGACGCTATATGGCGTTGTCTCGACTGCTCCGCACTGTGCTTAGCTGGGGTGACGTCACCTCGCTAGGTATTCTAAGTAAGCATCGGTCATCGATGGTTTCCACATGTATGTGGTGACAGAAGCATCATAAAATGCAAATGTTTTCAGACATTTTAAATGATATCCAGTTTCCACACTCCACGTTCATCTTAGTTCACTAATTGAATTTTTTTTTAATTGATTTCTTTGGCATACCTGCCAACTTTTACGAATTTTTCGTAATTTTTACGAAAACGCGTTTGTCTTTACGATTTTACGATCATAATCCATTTTTTACAATTTTTTTTTCCTTTTTCAAGTGTTTTTAGTGATTTTTGTCGAAATTTTAGAATTTTTTGCCAATGGCATCGTGTTTTACCGCCAACTACCGACTACTTCGAATCCAGTAACCTGCGGTTTCTCCCAACTCGCTGCTTAACCAGCCAATCCAATGTGCTGAATTTGTTTCTCTCCCTCTTTTCATTGTGGGCGCCAGATTATTTTTTTGCATTCGCTTCAGCAGCAAGGGAATTACTCAGCTCGGACTCAGCGAGCGTGGATTGTCGCATTCTGTTTTTTGTTTGTTTGTTTGCACGTGCTACGAATTTTCTTAATACGTCGTTGTTAAAAAAACATATTCTCAATATTTTCGGCCTGCCTACAAAGCCGAATTTCCAACAATTAAAGAATCCTTCAAAGGAAAAAAACTATGCATTTTGCAACGTGTGCGTGTGTGACTTCATAATAAGTCATGGAAGAAGACATTGTGATGTTAAGTCTAAAAGCATGAAGTATGCTTCGACTTCGACAAGTCAAAGAAAATGATTTTTTTTTCAATCAGAGTGCTGCCTTCGAACACAAGAAGTTGAAGGGAAGAAGAAACAGTCTTCTATTAGCCGGGAGGAAAGGATTTTCTATCTTCTTTCTTCGGATTTGAACAAAGCATATTGTAGTTTTGTGTTAAGTACCATTAAGATTTTTGAAAGTGTAAATACCCTTCTACAATCAGCTTCGCCAAAATCTCCCCTGCTTATCCAAATTCTTAATGATCTTTTGAAAGAACTGTTGATCCGTGTTGCCTATAATAGTTTGGCAAATCAAAAGGATGACATTGATCTTATAATTGGAAATCAAACCAGGGAACTTGTAAATTCTTTGAAAGATCATGAGAAAAAAGAATTTTTTCAATGTGTTAGAAAGTACTTTTCCTCAGCCTGTGATTACATTGTAAGGAAGTTTCCTTTGCAAAATGAAGTTCTTTTAAATGCTGAAGTGGCAAATTTGAAACAAATTGAAAATTCATCTTTTGAAAAGATTCGTTTTTTTTTTATTGATAAATTTCCATTTTTGTTAACAATTAAAGAAAATGAATGCCATAATGATGCTTTAGATGAACTACAGAACCAATTTTCTGCTGCACAGTTTGAAGACTTTGCCAGTTCTGGAGAAGATAGACTTGATGTCCTCGTTGGTACCTTAAAAAGAATAAAAAGAGCTGATGGAACACCAAAATATGATAGACTAGCAAGAGTTTTATGTGCTATTCTCGTAATTCCACACAGTAATGCTGAGTGCGAGAGAGTCTTCAGTGTTGTGAAGAAAAAAAAAACTATGTTTCGTTCTTCAATTTCACCAAAAACTCTAGAAAACATTTTAATTGCTAAATGTTATGAGGAAACTAATTGTTATGACAGGAAATTTTCCAAAGAATTTTTGGCTAAAGCCAAAAAATGCACTCTAAATTCATTGCAATAATTTTTTTGTGTAACATTAAGTTCTTGTTTATGTTTCCTATACGTCAAAAGTTATGGATCGTCGGGACTCGGGTCGATTACTCTCATTAAATCTTAAGAGGAGCAGAAATTATAAAATGAAATATGAATAAAATTTGATCAAAGGGTATCAAATTAACAGAAAGCTAAATTTGTTTACTTTATAACTTTCTTCAAGTAAGTTGCTTTGTTTCATGTGATAATACTTTCTCTTTAATTCTATTAAACAGACATAATTTCTTGTTTAGTTACAAAGTTCCGCTGTTCAAGTCCTATAATTGCTGTGTTGAGAATACTGACTAATTTGTCAATCGAAATTTTTTCGTATTCAATAACCCCTGTCACTTTCTTCACTATCGGCAGCGAATTATAATGACGAGGAACTTGATTTAAATGATATAAAAGACGGAGTACATCGAGATGAAATACTACACTTAGTACGGAATTATAAACCAAATAAAATAAAAACATCTGCCCTGAAGATAAGGATAGTGCTGACAGATCAACTTCCAATCCGCTGCGTGAAATTGATAAACAGATTTCGGATTTCAAAATATACTTTCGCTTTGTAGATACAAATTACATATTAGTAAATATATATCGGAAATTCTATTTGACGTAACCTTTCTAATCTATCATAATCTAATAATGACGTTTGTGCCCCCCCCTCTGCCGCAGAGCAGCGTGAAATTGATAAACAGATTTCATATATATATTTACTACAAAGCAAAACATACTTTTGCTTTGTAGTAAATATATATCGGAAATTCTATTTGACATAATCGAAAGCTCAAGCTTACTTTTATAAAATTGCTCTAACAGTCTGCAAAAAAAATAATAAGCCGGATCCAATTTGAAGATTAAGGAACAACGCAGTCTGCAAACATTAAACTGAATTAGATAAACTTTAGCTTAGCGTTAACTCCGTTACACATTAAACGCGCATGCGCACAAAACATATTCGCCGCGTAAGGGTCTACGCGCTCTCGTAAACGCCTGTGTGCGCATGCGTGAACGCGACGCATGCGCAGAAAGTTTGTAGCTTTGAGGTCTGGATTATAGATCATTCCGGATATTGGGTGTCCGAATTAACGACTTTTGACTGTAAATTTTTTAGTTACTACTTAATTGAGATTTACTAATGTAAGTAAAATTTTCTTTTTTCTATTTGTAT